GTACTGCATGTCGTCTACCGATTTTTCAATTTTTTTCAATTTGAGATCTGTTACTAAATAGTGGCCTGTGGCGTGTCATTGTTACTTTTTGAGTTGGTAACTTCTGTTAGTGCAGACAGACCCTACTTTGTTATGATTCTGTAGTAGTGAAAAAGACCTTTTTAGGGCAGCTTTATTATTTCTTTTCGTAATTGTCGTAATAAGATGGAAACAAAACAGTGCCCGAAATGAGCAACTATATTGTCTTCCTGTCAGATGCCATTTTGAGCTGATAATCAGCTCGCAATGTGCAGAGACTTGAGGCATTGTTATAAGGCTCTTGAAAAATATGTCAAACAAAAAGAAACAGTTTTGGAGGTTGACAGAAGTTACCATTCAAGCCTCTGATACGCCTATTAAGTGTTGCTTAAAAATCTTGTTAGCATCAACGAAACCGCAGCATGGCCACACAAGATGATTCAGAGAGGAAGAATGAGATGTGTTGTCATGGTATCTGTTGCCATGACCTTTGTTGCTATGGTGAGAGTGTCTCGAAACCTGAATGAGCTGGTCTCGCTAAGGTGATAGTTGAGCTGTGATGAGAGTTATGAGAGAAAACGGGAGAAGGTCGTAACGTGGGCTGTCAAGGGATGAGTGTCTTAATCACCTTAGCGGAACACGAGGACCGTTCCAAGTTTTCAATTACTCATGCAAGTATATTCACTTCAGTCACGAGATACAGGAAACAGCTGTGCTGTTTGCTGACTTGGTAAACTTTTTTCATGGAGCGGAAAAACGATCCCGCTTTGTCGTGCAAACTTTGGAAAACTTTGAATGTGTCTTCGTGTAACTTGTGAGAGGTGTGGCTATGCTTGGTTTCGTTTTGCATCGGGGACTCGGGAAAAACCATCTGCAACTATCGATTGAATAAATTGCCATATATTTTTGCTCCGTTCGGAATGAACAGTCAGATGCCATAGTGTGCATCACACAACATTCTGTAGTCTAAGAAAACATCTGGTATAACTTCCGGTATGAAAATTCTAAAAGGACTAAGCACTGAACATGCTTCAAGTTTAGTTCAAATATAACCATTTCCTTGAAGCAAATGTTAAAACAGACGGATTTTAGCTGAAAGCAAAGTAAAACTGTTTGTCCCTACAACTCCAAAATGAAAAAGCAGGTGTCAATTCCGAAATGCACTTTTCGAAACAGAGCTACATGTTTTTTTGTAATCAAAACTGGTGGGCTGTTCTTGGCATATTCCATTCACAACCCCCCCCCCCCCTAAAAAAAGGGGAATGTTATTGCAAACGGCTCTTTGTGGGGCACTTACACATGGTTTTGAGCTTTGACCAAAAATGTTGACCAAATGATACACATTTCTTGGGTGAGCTTGGTGTGGGTTGTAACTGGCCTGTATTCTGTTGTGTAACTATGGATATTCGAAACGTACAACTCCACAGAGGGAATATCAAATATTATTCGCATCAATGAGCCGTATGAAATATGGTTTTTGCACCAAAGGCCCTCAAAACAGATATTTCTCAACTAGTGTTGAGTTCCTTATGTAACTGGGATTTTATTTTTCTGTATTGGTTGATCCCCATCTTTCGGTGAAGCAGAAGATGAAATTCTAACTTTTGGCATTGGTGCCATGGTATTTTCTGGTATCTTGCCATAATTTACAGGCAATAAAACTGCCGGAATCAGGTTGAATGTACCAAGATCGTTTTCATGCGATTTGTATCAAATGTGAATAAAAAGGAAGTCGATCTCTATCTGGAAATTCGCCAAGCTATTTTTTTTTTTGCCAAATGATATTCCCTTATGGTTATGGTACACAGCAGTGAGATGTTTATTGCATTCAATGCCATAGACTAGACCTTTTGGCAACACATGAATGTTTTGACAATTCTTGAAAAGCAGTACCATATCCAAAAAAAAAACAATAATAACAATAAAAAAAAGAAAAAAAAGAAAAAGCAGTCGTCCCTAAATCGGTTCCTGTCACCTTTTTTACAAACTTTTCGCATCTCTGGTCACGGTTGTAGGACATTTCGTGCACATGGCAATGGTCAGGATAGTTGCAGATGGATGAAGACTGGACTGCGTGCACAAGGACCCCCCTCAATGGTTAAAAAAAAAGAGACTCTGTAGGCGTGACTCTGAATGTCCTGCGCTTGCGCACATCAAAACTAGTCAGCCCACTTCCATATGTGGGTCGAGCATTCCATTAATTCGGGGTCCAAAAGTGTGACTTTGTTTGTGTCCAAGACTGTTACACCTGACAATGTAATAATTGCCGTGCAAGCATCAATAAAATTGAATCAAACCTTTTTTATGCTTGGCAGGTACTTTGCTTTATATGTATTGTAATCGCTCTTGGAGATAGTTCAGGAATTAAAAAACGTGTCCTGAATTTACAAAATCTTATATCAGATGTAGCAGGGACACGAATAAAAGTGGACCCCAAATGTATGGAATGACCCACATGCGCTTACACATTGTGTCCGCTCGCACAGCTCTCACAACTAGTCGCGAAGCGCCCTCTGCTGTCTGTGCACGGAGTCCATGACGTGTTGACAAGCCACCACTCTGGAATGCTCGACATGCGGTACTTCTCACAAGCTCCGAAATCGAGGCCAAAGCTTCATGGAATGTCTCGGATGGGATTTGAAATGAATTGCTCCACCATTAACCCTAACATCCCCAGTGTCTTTTACTCGGTACTGGACCAAGTCCGCCATAATCCATCACTGTTCCTGCTTCACATAATGCTTCAGGACCAAATCCGCTGAAATCCACCACAAGACCACCACTTACGATAGGTGGATTTTGATGGACTTGGTACTCATGGCTTGCCTACCAAAACCCCCCAAATGGGGGAATGGATTTTGATGGATTTGGGAAGGTTAGGGTTAAACCAATAAGAGTATACATATCTCTGAAAATAGTGGGACAAACTCCCAGAAATCCGTCAACCACCCAATTCTTTACAAGACAAGGTTAAAATCCACTCTTCCATAAACCCTAACAAGCTAGTTGAGGAAATGTTAAGTTGAAATTTGCTGCAGTTTAGAGCTGGCAGCAGTTGAGATCTTACTGGTTCTTTATTTATTAAAAAAGTTAATAGCAATTCATTTCAGAACCCATCCAAAAGCATTGATACCTTCTGTCATAAAAAAGGACAGTTGTTTAATTGGCGTTAGTTTTGTCCCTTTTTTTGCAGACAAGTTGATGAAACACAGCACAGTCAGTGATACATGCATTTTATGATGAGATTGTCTTTCATTCTTGTAGCTGTTGTTAGCTGGGCCTAGGTTGTTTTTTTATATCACACTTGCCATAAAGTACAATTTTGCAAAAACGACCATTCCACGCAGACAAAACATAAACGGCCATTTCTAGAAGAAACAGTTAACAACAGCTACATCAGCGCTCCTCAAAAAGTATCTGTTAACCCAAGCAGTGCTGAGGGCTTCTTATAGTTTGCTGTTTTGCTTGCAGAATTATGTTGACTGAAATTGGCAAATAATTGTCATGTGACCAAAGTGGACACCGGTTTTTCAAAGAAATAAATACTTTCAGATACTTTCACTACTTTGGTTAAAGTGTCAAAAAGAACTGTGTAAGACAGTAATTATTTTTTCAACCAAATTTTTAATTTAGCATATTTACCATAGAGTATGCCCTAAACCAGTGTCTGTCTGGCTATTTTTGAAATAACTACGAAACCATGAAGTCAATTTTATTTTAATCGTGTAGATACTCCTTATCCTTGGCCTAAACCCCTATGAGTTTCATTTAATTTCAGTCACGCATCACTACACAATTATCAATTACATGAAATCACAACAATAATTTGGGACATTGTGACCAAGTTCCTTGCCTTAATCAATTTCAGTGCTGTGTTATGTAAGCTGTGTAAAATCCTGCATGGTGTGAAAAGGGCTGCGGTTGGGATTGGAACCACTTGTCTGGCTATCAGTCACCATGACAAGACCTTCCAATCCCAAACCACATCAGCCTTTTTTTTTAAAGCATGCAGGATTTCAAACAGCTTGCGTAACACAGCACTGAAACTGATTAAGGCAAGGAACTTGGTCACAGTGTCCAAAAATGCAGTGATGCGCGACTAGAATAAAATGAAACTCATAGGGGTTTGTGCCAAGGATAAGGAGAGTCTGCACATTCAAACATTTTCAAAATTGAATCCATGGTTTTCTAGTTATTTAAAAAAAAGTCAGACGGACACTTTTTTGGGGACATACTGCAGAGCACTGTTAGGGTTAGAGATTCTTGGGGGCGCTGTCTTAGTGTCTTTTGAATGTATACACCAATCCATTTTCAAACAGACTTGTCGCACATGCAGCATATACCATCATTCAGTATCATGCATCATGTGTTCACTTGAATTTTTCTCTTATAAAATTGAAATTTTGAGAAACTTCCACACATTGAGAAAAAAATGATGTATTATTGGTAGGCTAGATAATTTGTAGCCATAAAAAATCCCCTCCTTGCGCAAAAGGGTGTTTGTATTTTGACAGGCTATCTTCGTGAAGAATAAGCCAATTCTGTATTTCAACTGCGCATAATTATGCGCACAGTGATATGGGTCATGGGTCATTTGGGATAATCGAACGCTCATCCAAGGCGCATGAACGCGCACGGAGACAGGCGTAACGTCACGTATCATCACGTCAGCGATTTTATCCCGAATGACCTTTGACATGGACTACATTATCGAGATACCGAACTGGCTTATTGTAAAGAATTTGTGTTCGGTTTTTAAAAAAAATAATTTCATAAATTTTGTCAAATAGACTTCACACAAAGCTAAAAACTTGAGTGTGCCAATGATACACTCATTTTTGCATGGAGTGGATTTTTTTGTATTGATTGTATTTGCATATATAACGTATTCCTCATTGTTTTCTCATTTTTATAACCTACGTGTATTGTAAGGTTGTTATTTTGTTCTATGCCTCACATTTTTACAACCTTGTTCTCACCAGGGATTCCTTAATTCTAGCCTGTGTCAACTGTGGGACTAGTATCTTGGCCGGGTTTGTCATCTTCTCAGTCATTGGGTTCATGGCCCACGATATGCAGCTGCCGATTGCCAATGTCACTGACACAGGTAAGGGCATCCCATCCTCACCATCTACGCTCTTCACCCAATTCCACATCTGCACCCATAGAGGGGCAGATAGGGGAAATGTTTGGGGCAATTGCGCATTTGATGATACAAGCATGGCATTTGGCACACAGTCAGGGTATGTCTTAAGAAAGATATTTGGCTATAGGGCCGCCCAATCGTCACCCAATCCCTTACAGGCGCTCACAGCACCCACTCCCCACCCCACACCCCACTTTGCAAGCCTGTTTCAGAAACAGAAGTACCCCCGTACCCCCACAATGCCTTATTCACCCCGTCACTACCTTCCTCTTTCACCCCTCGCCTCACACCCAACCCCCCACACACATACTCAAATTTGTATCCCTGTGGAGTCATTTCTTTGTTCTCGTGTACTAAAATTTTAGAGTTTGAAAGTGTAGTTTCAAAACGCTCCTATTGTAACCAGAATTAATTTCCTAGGCTGAAATTCGGACTTAATATCCCTTACAAAGAATACTTCAATTTGCGACACACCGTGGAAATTCCTAGTTTTTGAGTAAAATCCATATATCTATTTCTTGATAACCTTGTGGAGACGTATTCGCCTATAGAAATTGCCCTGTGGAGACGTATACAATCTTTTGTTCCCTATTATTCACATGTCTCCACAGGGTACCCACAGTACCCATGCTCCACCCTATATCCCCACCTTTCTACAAGCCCACTCCACAATCTAAAACTTACCCCTTATATTACCTCCATCCTACTACCACACCCCATCTCTACCTCGCACCCATTTCCCCTTTCTCCAACCCGCATCATGCTAACTTACCTATTTCCCACATATTCTTCCCCGTACCTCACATGTTCCTTTCTGTACCGCCATCCCGTCACCACGTTACCCACACCAATCATCTTTCTACTTCTTGTTCTTGTTCCATCATCCAGGTCCCGGCCTTGCCTTTGTGGCCTACCCAGAAGCCTTAGCCAGGATGCCTGTCGCACCGCTCTGGTCTGTGCTCTTCTTCTTCATGTTATTCACACTGGGTCTCGACAGCCAGGCAAGTCATAAACATCCCATCATATAATGAAGAACACTTTCCTTTGCTGGTTTAGGAGCAGTGATCATTGCGCGTATTTCTGTACCAGAGGAGTGCAGGTATAGACTGGTTCCTGTACCTTCCATTATCATTCTTACGTTCAATCAATATTGGGAACCAGTCTTAAAGGTAGAGTATGTCATTTGTGCATTTTTTTTTCGTTTGAAGCAATAAAAGTGCTGAAAATCTAAAGAAAGGTGCTTTAACAACTAACCTGATGAAGTTTTAGCTCTGCGAATGCTGTATATTCCAAGAAACACAATATTCTGGGATCTTGATTTCAATTCAAAAGTTGCCGAGTCATGTTTCGAATTGCGCCCAAAATCAGCATCCAGGACTCGTTCTCACTCAGCTGATGGCAGCTACGCGTTGTCACCCACTGAACCGATGAATTTCAGCAACCATGCGCCCTTGTGCGCCATGCCAATGCTTGTGCGCACTCTTTCACGGCTTCGCCGAATTAACAACGAACTACTAAAAACTGGCACCTGAATGGTCCTTCATGCATCACTTTCTTTTTCACCTTAGTTGTGATAGTTTTTTTGCTTCTGTTGCTCAGTTTGTCATGATGGAAACTGTCATCACGGCCATCTGCGACGAGCTGCAGAGCTTCTTCCCACGAATCTTCAAGTTTAAGATCTGGATCACCCTGGCCACATGCTTCGTCTGTTTCCTGCTGGCTTTACCCATGGTGACAAATGTAAGACTTTGTATGAAACAGCTCCATTATTTGCTCATTACTTGTTCTATTTGTTCACCCGATTGTTGCTTAAGTTCTCAGATGTGATACCTTTTGTGTTCCAAGTATTAAACCTACTGTGCAGCGCCTAATTCTTCAGCATTTAAAGTTGTCTCATTGACAAGTTGACCATAAATCGCCACAAGTCGTAAAAAGAACAAGCGTGAGTGTACAATAAGCTCTGGCCCGGTTCCGGAATGTCTTACTTATTCATATGCAAAATAGACGGCGCGCACGTGCATCGATTGAAACAAAGGGGTGTGTTCCGAAAACATTCGCCAAGAGTGCATTTACTGACGATGGCATTGCATTTGGTTAATATTTGGTCAGTTGGTAGTTTTATGGGAGACTTAGAGGGCTTGTTTTGGTCAATTTTCGGGTAAAGACCTACTGACCGACCGACAGACCATGAAGTGACATGTACAAGCTCCTGCCAAAGCTTAAAAAGAAGTAAAGTCTGTCACAAGCCAAAAAGGCCCATCAGGCCAGTGATTACATGTATCTCCTGTTTCCTTGGCATGAAACGACTGAGACAATTTTTGTTCTTTTTGGATGGGATGCCAGTCCATCACAGGTTATTCCCCAGCTTGGGTGGTGAGAGGCAAGTGGGAGTGAAGTGGCTTGCCCAAGGACACTACATATGGCCAGCAGCTGGATTTGAACCCCTAACCACTAGGCCACACTCCCATCACCACAATTAACACAATTGTATTTGCCATTGCAGGGAGGCATCTATATCTTCTCTTTAATGGAGACGTACTCTGCTGGTTTTTCTGTTCTGACTATTGGATTTGTAGAAGCAATTGTCATTGCCTACGTCTATGGTGAGTCGGCTCGCCCCTGTCAGATGTGATGCAATCAAGCTAAATGAGTCGTTTTTCGACCCTGGTCAATTTTTTTTTTACAGATTTGAAAACAGCACAATCTCAGCATTACTGCTGTGAAAACCGCATGCTGGTACTATCTTAAAAGTTAAAAAATTTTGGAAGTCGGAACACCAAGAGATGTGATGAAGTGATGTGATGAAGTGGCCCTATTTTGGCCTGAATCTCCAAATGAAAATTCCTGACAAACGACTCATTTAGCTTAATCACATCACAAATGTCACACACTTGTGTTATGTTTCATTTTAATTACCTAAGTTCCAGTCCCTCTTAACTTTTTTTTTATCGAAATCAGCAATTTCTAAAATGTCCGTTTCCTAACATTTCTCTTTTTCAAGTTTTTTTTTTTTTTTTTTTTTTTAAAGATATCCACCTTTTTTTTGGTGTGGGAAAAGTGGCTCATGACAAGATTAAATAAGTTTAATGTCAGGTGTGAAATCATGAATTTAGCCAACCAACTCCCCAGTTGATGTATTTCTTTTTGACAGGAGCTAAGCGTTTCCTGAAGGACATGAAAGTCATGCTGGGCTTTCAGCTCAATATCTACTGGAAGGTGTGCTGGATGGTGTTATCACCAGCTATCATTGCGGTGAGTCTTTTAATTTGGGGAACCAAGAAAAAATGGGATTCATTTATTGGATCTGTAGAGGAACTATAGTGGTCTTCCCTAACATGACGCACTTCGTCGTTTCGTCCTGACTTTCCTCATGCAATGTTGCCAAACTTCTTTGTTGACAAAATTCAAATTCATTTTGTTAAATACTGGTACTGCTACCTTCATAAAGTTTGCTGTTGAACCTTTGTGAACAATTTCAGTGTCATGAAATTTAGTCCGAAATTTAAAAAACGATGGCATCTGGAAATAGGGCGAAAAATCGGCTGAGTGTTCCCAAACATGGCGCACTTGAATAAACCTCGGAAAATCCCACGTTAACATTTAAGTTCTGCAGAGTTGGAAAAATTCTGATCTGATAAACCATTATGATCTCTACTCACACACCCAACTAGAAGTTGGTCGGAAAATTATTTTCTTATTTTTTGGTGCATTTTCAAAGTGTTCACTGTGCACTTCAAAAGAAAATCGGAAAATCATGCCAAAATATATTAATCTGGCTAACTTTGTAATGGGTAAGTAAACTCACAATTTATGAGCTGGAATGTTTAGAGCCTGATGAAATTTCACTTACTTTGAAATTTCTGGAAAAACTTTTGCTCTAGCAAGGTGCTGTTCAGTCATCCAAATTGTCAACTTTCCTTCAAAACTAGCATCAAAATGTATGCTCTCTAATCTTCTATGTGATTAAAAGTTCTTTTACACTTAATTCATTTTACAGTTCATCTTCGTGTTTTGGGCGGTCACCTATGAGTCTTTGACGTACTACGAGTACACCTACCCTCTGTGGGCTGAGTTACTGGGCTGGCTGATGATTATGGCAGGTGTGATTTTCATGCCAGCCTACGCCATCTACTATGTCATAATCTACGGCAAGGGTACCGTGAGAGAGGTGAGCAAAGGACTGGTAACCAGTCTACTGTGTAGCAGGGTCCAAATATGGTAGTTTGAATCCCTTTTATGGACACTTCCTGCATGTATATCAGATACTGTGCATTGACCAATTAGGCCGCGGTAGTTTGGTCAGGTGACTAGTATAGCTTGGTCAAACTGTGCCACAGGTCCTGTTAAAAATGTACACGAACCAAAGTGGTCAACAGGGAATAACTTTTTTTTTATGTTTGCTGACAGCGATTTGCCCAAGGCCTACGGCCGGAGGAAAGCTGGGGTCCTGCACTGGACAAACACCGGCTGGAAGCTGGTTACCCACTCCTGCACCAGAACGAGACAGGGGTACCGACCAAGATGCTCAACGGGGAAAGCTACGAGATGATTCCCGCAAACGGCATCTCAAATACTAAAGGTGTAGAACCGGTCTAGGCACGTTAAACGAAAAACAAGATTAGAACGGTCATGCATGATACAGGCATTAGAGTCAGCTTTTTCCTATTTAGTTTAATTTATTTATTATTTTTGTAGAGTAATATTAACTTGTTATCGTAATAATGTAGTAATATGTAGACTTAAAAATGTGCCGATTGAGAAAGTTATAAGTTTCTGATTTTATTTTGCTACGCACAATTTTGGAATAAGCCATTTTAGAAACAGAGTTGCTCTGCAGGTGCAGGAGTAAGATTTCTATATCCATAGAATATGTTATGTTGTATGGTAATCATATAGATCTGTTCTCTAACAAACAACTCTGAGGGTAGGGGATGTGGATGGTGTATTATATTTTTTTGTCTCCTGTTTAGTGTTTGCTGTCGGAAATACTTTGGGGGTGGGTCAGTTTTAATTACGGAACTAACCAGAGCTGTCCGGAGAGTGGTGGTCTTCATAAAGAAATTCCCAACTTGGAAGCAGAATACGCTAAAGAAGTGGTTACGTCGTGCGTTGCTGCGGTCAAGCGTTGCCGCGGTCACGTGTTCCACACAAACCTGGCCTTGCGTAGCGATAGCACGGTGCCCAGTAACTGCCCACTTTTTTTTACCAAGTTTTTATCCGTTGGAAAATATAAATAACGGCATCCATCACGTTCTGATTGATGAATACAGTTAGCTACGTAGCACGGTCCCATTTTCCAGTCTGATTTATTCTTCATGTCTGAGAAATCTCAACCAGAAAATGTTCACTTAAATTTCCCGTGCAAACTACAGGGTAAAAATGGAGGAGACATTGTGTGGAACGGTCGCTATGGAGACGACCCCGCGTGACGTCACACTTCTACAGCGTATTCAGTTTTCATGTTAACAAGCTTCACTGATGATAGTGCCTTCAGCTTTGTATTCAACAGGTTTACCACATTAACAGATGCCAACAAGTTTTTGGATGGAATCGAGGTATTTGTGACAAAAAATGAATTCCTTGCTAAATGCTTGATGTTTCCCCATACATTTTTTGGTAATAAAATGGAATTTCCAAATAACCCGTCAAGTACAAAATGACACACAGACAACCTTTGGTTAAAACTTTTAAAACAGGAACGTCAACCGAAAATAATTTGTAGGGGCCCAGTAATAGCTATTACATTAAACCTAGTGAATCAGTGAAACATAAGTTATGCAGTATTTGTGCTCCATGCCAATGTATCGATTGTGCTGCAATGACCACACCGTATATATTTTAAACTTGAGAACGGAGTTTTTGGTCCTTTTTACTGATACGCCACATTTATAATCATTTTTGTGAACTGTTTGTCCAAAACGAAAATATGGTAATTATGAGTTACAAGGAAGTCATGTTTTGTGATGAAGACACATGGGTTTTCACCCATAATCTCAAAAGGTAGTGTATCCACTAAGTGGAAATTTGCAGGTAATTTTTTTTTTTTCACAATCTGCATCACCATTTTTTTTTTAAACGAAATGCAGGAACACTATGCATGAAATACAAGTGGTCCTTTTGGCCTGGAATAACGAATTTTGGTTAGTGCAACTTCCATGAAGTAATACTAGAAAAAGAAAAATTAGTCGTGTTTGTCTCGTCATTGTTTTACGCATTTTACGCATTTGTGATAGTGTTCATCACAATTATGGAGATAGTGAAATACCACTTGATATTTTTTATTTGAGAGCAATCCTGGTAATACGTATTCAAAAATGCGATTTTTCAAAAGACATAAGGGTAATGAGGTCCGATTATCATGAAACTTGGTGGATAGGTAGATACTGTAACTAGTATGAAAAATACGAAGTGACATCATGATGACTTCATCTACTGATTTTTTATACATTTAAAAAAAATTTTACATCTGTTTCTACTCTTGACATAAAATGAAATCAGATTGACAAGTGACGTGATGAAGTCATTATGGGTCACGTGATGTCATCTTAAATGTGCATGATTCAAAGTCGCATATCTAGAGAACTATAAGTCTGATTGGGTTGAAACGAGGTATGTACTTAGACCCAAATGTGTTATAGATAACAAACATTGATATTGTCCTCATCCGGGCATTTTATCAAATTTCGCTGGTTCCCGCACAAGCGAGAGCATAGGAACTCTCAGTCGTCAACCAGTCAGCAGAGCATAGCGCACCGTACCGTCAGATGCAGCGCGCAGCAGGGTATACGCGCACTGTTGTCAACGACCACAATGGCAGCTTCTAGCGGTGCGAAGTAAAGTAAGCAAAGAATAATCAACGAAATTTGAGAAATAAAGACATTGTCCTGAAATTTATTTCTTGCGGATCAAGTCAGCCTGCTATAAATAATAACTATATTGGATGGCTTTTTGCGGGGGATACAAGAATGTATTGCACTCGCTATAACAATATGGCACTCCTCTTCGACTCGTGTAATATTGTTATAGCTCGTGCAATATATGCTTGTAGCCCCCTCAAAGGCATCCGTATATATAATTATTCCTAATTATGTTATTTTTGTATTTTGTTCATTTGGTGTCCTATTTTCTTTACCTCTTCCTAATTTTATACTAGTTTTTGTGTCTTGTATATTTGTATTCCAAATTGTAATTCATTGTGCTCGAGCAAAATCATATTCAGAAAAGATTTCCTTTTCTGTCGGAGTTAACACAGTAGAAACGTCAGGTCCTTGTTCTAAGTATTATAAAAAAAAACTGCAAAGTAAATAATTTATAATGTTCCCTTACAATGCATCCACGTTTGAAACAATGCTGTGTGAAAGATATATTCTGGTGTTTTATTGGTTCATGACTTGCCTATTAGTCTGGTAAGGTAGACAATATTTTATTTTTTTATAAATTTTTTGGCCGATATGTAAAAGTTTGTTAAGCTCTTAACACATCAGAGAGCTTTGTTGTTACAATGTCTGAACAGTTATTGAATACATAGAACAATTAGAGGATTCATTTGAATATTATAGAGTGACCTTTTGAGGGGAAAAAATCCAAAACTTAAAAAAAAAACACAATTGGACCTTGACAGGCGATTCATACATGTTAAATTTTTTCTAGGGTGAGGTGGAAGGGCTGTTGTGAGGAAAATATTTTTCTATATTCCACGGCCAACTTTATGGCTGACACGTCAAGTCTAGAAGTTCTATTTATTTGACATTGCGTTCAGGGAAATAATTTATTGTCCACCCGGGGCAAGTTCGATCAAGACCATAGTTAACCATAGTTTGACTAGCCCTGATCAATGGAACGTACGCTAGTCAACGACGGTTGGACTAGTCTAGTCCACTACTCAGGACCAGTCTATCGCGGTTGAGGAATGACAATTTATAGCTGGTTATTAATAGCAATTTCCATAGCAAAGTTACGATTCTGTCACTTTTGTTAACCATTGTAAATTTATAATGGCGATTATGTAAGATGTCCTAAACTACACAATCACTTTAATTTGTGTAAATAGAAACAAGTGTTGAACAATTGTTGGACTGGAGTCGTTTGCACTTCAACTTCAGTGCGCATGTGCAAGGTACGTCACGACCCAACCACTAGTTCCTTGATTGAACTTGGTCCTTTTAGATGACTCAATATTTCAGTTTTGTTCTTCAAGTGCTGACGAAATGGATGCAAACAATTACTTGTTGCCATGGAAACACTGTAATATTTAAAGTTTGATCTTACCTATTACAACGACTACCGCAAACTAAACTGGCTGAATGTGTTATTTTGGTGCTCTATTCTTTCGCATTCAGTTCAATTCATTTGAAAATACATGTACTTTATTTATCCTTAACAGCCCATGCTTTTTTTAAGTAGATATTTTTGGGGGTGGGGAATCATATTTTAGCTAATATGATCACAAAACTAATTCAGTGCATATTATACATTGTATTTTTTTTTCCTATTAATTGAAGATACATGGTAATGACTTTTTTTTCTTTGGCTTGTAAATACATGTATACGGAACTCAACATTAAATGTTGGTGAAGGATAACTGTACGGTTTGCAACTTTTTGTCTCCATAGTGTATGTTCATTGTTAAAAACTGCTGCAGCTGAGTCAATAAATTGACCTTCAGTTTCATTAGGACTAAATTACCATTTGTGTTTGGTTATTATTTGTGAGTGTGTCAAATGTATTCTACTTGGAGTGAAATATGCGGAGAGTCATTTTTTTGTAAGTAAAAATGAGAAAAAAAATTGTCAAAATACATTGGTAAGCATCATATCTGCTGTTATGTTATCCCATGGTCCATCAGTCTGTTCCACATCTGTTGGGTCATCACTGGGCTTTGGTAGCCACCATACCCAGTGTTACGTTATCCCATGGTCCATCAGTCTATCCCATATCTGATGGATCATCACTGGGCTTTGGTAGCCACCATGCCTGGTGTTACGTTATCCCATGGTCCATCAGTCTATCCCATATCTGTTGGATCATCACTGGGCTTTGGTAGCCAACATGCCTGGTGTTACGTTATCCCATGGTCCATCAGTCTATCCCACGTCTTTGAAATCATCCGCTGGGCTCCAGTGCCCACCATGCCTGGCATTATGTTATCCCATGGTCCATCATTCTATCCCATAACTCTTGCGGATCATCGGTTGGCTTTGGGAGCTCTCTTGCCAGATCTCCAACAGCAGTCAGTGGATCCTTGAACAAAAACAAAACAAGAGCAGCTTTGATTTTAGCCCGTAGGTCAAATCCAGGTGGAATGGTCTGTTGAGCAGTTGCTTTCCAGCCGTCCCAATTCCTCCAAAAAGTTTAAAGTCCTTACCTTAATTCTGTCCAACGCCACAGACAAAGATGGGTTAATTACTGATTGTAGCTTTACCTCCCCCCCCCCCTTTGCCAATCCTCCAATTCGTTCTTCCTTTCTCTTGTCACCTTGTTTGCAAAGTTCCTCATCTTACTACTTTGCTCAGAGCCAAACCTCTTACTGTTCAGACAGTGCTTAACCAGTACCTGAGTGCTTAGCAGCCAATCCAGTCTTCTCTCCGTCAGCTCGTTTCCCAGTCTTGAGGTTCTGTGACGGATGAAGTCTCTCCTCAAGGCTGCAGTCTGTGATTCCCTGTTTAAAATAAAAGAATACATAACATTTTAGAAATTGCAGATGGGAAGTTGGCAGTCACAAAGCAAGCCAACAAGATGCTGTATTCAGATCGGGGAGGGGGGAAGGAGTGGGTTGGCGGGACAAAAATGACGTACAATACTCACTGGCAATGTTGACAAGAATCGGTCCCACTTGTGGTAGCAATAGACGCCGCCTGTGATAGAAAACACAGTACAGGAGTCAAACTCAGGTGACTTAAATTTTATAAAACAAATTTACACTAGCTGACCTTGCATATCAACTACCACAGGAAAAGGAAAGCCTCTCATGGCAATGGAGAGAAAGTGATTGAGGCAAAGCGTCTTGCCTGAGGACACATGGCACCATTAGCACTCGTCCAGGTTCAATGCCACTTTCTGCCCAAAACTGAAACCCAAGTACATGACTTCGTCAATTTCCAGCAAGTCTTCACATCTTTTGCTCACCTTTTTCATGGTCGAGAGGAGGTTTTCAATCTTCAGTCTGTCGATGACCTCTCGGTTGATGAGGATGCCAGAATGATCGTTGGATGAACTCCTCGACTTTTCCCCAATACCACCTGTCTGAGCCTTGGTGCTTGCTCCACCTGCAAACATGTTTGTTCACATCTGTTTATTCATCATAAAGTATATGAGCTGCACATCAACCACCAAGTAATAGCGTTGAACTTGCTCCAACATTCTTGAAGTGCCTCTCTAGTCTAGCTAAAGCCGTGCACCAAGCAACTGAGTTAAACACAGAGTGTGGCATATCTGCTCCAAAGCTGCACTGCAACTTTCTAGAAACCCTCATCAGGCTCACACTGAGGATTTTTGGCAGCCTTGCTGCTGTAACACTGCCCTCTAGCAGTTTTTTTCCAGGCATTTCTCATTTGCAGTCAAAAGCCATCAGGCCTTATGGCATACAAAAAATAAATGACCACAACTTATGCGGAGAGTTATAGTGTTTTAAAAGTTTTTCCAAGATTTCACAAGAAATTGTTTAAACCTTGTCTGTTCTTGTGTTGAACCATCTGAATGACCTTCTGACAGAACAAGCTTCTCTCCTCCGCCTCAGGGCGAGTTGCTTCTGGGGCCTGTGTCGCCGTCGACCCTGCTTTGTGTCCCGATTTCTTCAGGAGACAAAGTTTGTTTCGAACGAACCGCCGTTGGGTCACGCTTGCCTTAGACAGCATTGGCTCTTCTGCACAGGAATCCTGTAAATTACAGGAACATAATTTTTCACAAGTGCGAGATGCATGGATTTTATTCACTCATCGTCCCGACGATTTAGAGATCAATAGTTTACAGGTCATGGATAAATATAAGACGCCACAAAACAGATTCACAGCAAAACATGATTTTGTGTAGATTTTCACCCCCGAGTTGCATAATTATATGAAAACACTTTCTGAAATCAGTTTCTTTGTGTGCACTTTTATATCCGTATTATTTCCTGACTCCTGAGGGCTGGAAATCTGAAACTAAAATTATACTAATTAACTGCCATGGTTGTCAAAAATGTACCTGTCCTTAATCTCAATCCAAAATTCCTTAATCTCAATCCAACATTCATACATGTGCTTACTGATGACTGATTTGATTCCCAGTCCGCTGTGTAATAAGATCCTCCCGTCTCATGGGGACTCCCCTCCCCCGACTCCCTCCTTGCCCCTCCCCTCCCCTTCCTCCACTCATCACGATCTGTTGAATGGTTCGTTTCTGTAAGCTCCTGAGCTGACTGACGGGACGACGTTGATGTGTCGGTTGCTGTTTCCCACAAGTCACTGCTGTAACGTCGGTGAGATGCTCCCTCTTTTGAAGCTGAGGTTATGATGGACGAATCCTCATCCTCGAGCAATACTGATGTAGCAACCTCTTGGCTTAGCTCATCCACGGTTTGAATGGTGGACGAGTCATAGCTGCTGGTGGTAGTCTGTGTTGTCATGGCAACACAACACATTTATCAAAATGTGCCAGTCCGCGTTGCTGGCAAACTGTACGAACACTCAAGAAAAAGGTGAATCGAATTAGGTCTAACCATGTACAGACAAATTGTGCAAAAAAGTTCTGCACCAAAGTTCAGCTGTGCTCTACTTAATTGGTCATTATAATTTAACACCCAGATTCATCAATTTCTTTTCTTCCTTTTTGGTAAATTTAATGCCATTTTCAACCTCTTTTTCAGCATGTTCGGTCTCGAATTGATCATGTTGACATGTGATATGGTCTTGCATGGATGCAATTTTCTTACAAAACAACAGGCCTAAAATAGGCTATCATCAAAGCCTGTAAAAAGGAAGAGCCTTGTGAGAACTTGGTACAGTTGCCAAGCTTTCTTCTAAAAACTTTCAACCAATCACGTCACGTAAAGAAACACAACATAAACACTCGTACTCAGTGCAGTGCTATGCTAGCTGCATGCGCAAACAAACCTTCAGACTCACTCGGCAAATGTCATTTCTAGTAAAAGACTGGTTGCGCAGCATGGTGTTCGATTAACGTGCTGTGTAGGATTAATGATTCGGGTTCTAGACTAAGCAATGACCTCGCGACCCCTAGCAATTTTTAACAGCATCTTTGATTGGATGGCTTATCTTCCACTGACCAATGGCATCAGCCGTACTGTATATTATACAGTCGCGGGAAGTTCCCTCCTGTATGTGCAATGTGCAAGCTGAACGTCTGCGCGGCCGCGGCTGAGTGGAGAAATGTTCGTAGGCCTGTACTGTCAGAACACTCTGTGCTTAATAGCTTAAGAATTTTGACTGGTAAGAAACTGTTATTTTTGCTAAATAATGATGATAGTAAGTGCCATGTTCCCTGCTCATTAATAATCAATACATTTTGTTGAATTATTCTGACTGATAACCTGGTTTTACTTACTAAATTATACCACTACCAGCTACATTTGCTTGTCATGATCATGTTCATTTTGTAAATCTGGAAAACATGAATGAACGCGCTTGCGGGGTGGCGTTACGAACGGCGGAGACCATTCATAACATTGTTTGTTACAACAACTTACATAATATGAATTTCAAGACATTTGTATGATATTCGTGGTTCTTTAAAGCTTTTATTAATTTGTAAAGGAAAGAACGAACATGACGAACAATAACGAATGACATGAATGGAGGCCCAGTTCTACTTCTAGTTGTGAACACTTTCTGGTAGCATGGGTAGTGTTACTGTTAATGTTATGATGATGTATTATTAATTAATATTTATTCCAGAGTTGTAGTAACATACAAAATGACATAACTATTATTTAGTTGGTGGCATTTAAAACTGTATTACATAAGATTGATTTTCTTGTTAAAGTTAAGAAAATAGTGGCTAGAAGTATAACGATGTGTTAAACATTTTAAACTATGGCCAGGGGCGAGCAGATTAACCCGATTGGGGCGAGCAGTTTAAGCTATGCAAATTAGAATGAACAATTGTCAAGCTTGGGACCTAGAGCGAGAAGTAATACCTAGAGCGAGAAGTCCGAATTTACGGCATGCATCGGGTGTGCCTGGAATGTTCGTCCCCGTATAAAGTGGATCCTCGAATTTTGGGGTGTGCCTTTCATCCCATACTACAAAAGTTAAGTATCGCGGCATCCCTATCGCGGCATAGGAAATTTCTCTTTTTGCGTTGCCGAAACTCCTTCAAGTGGCGATTTTAATCCAGTTCACAAAACATTAAAGGGAATATACAACATTTGCAAACATCGAAAAATAAAACTACCAAGTTTTTGCGAAATACCTTAATAGGATGTTGATAAATGACAGTCTAAAGCATCCTGTAAAATTATGGCACCTGGTATTCTGTCATTTTCAAGAAAAGTGGTATTTTTGTATCAATTTCCAACGCTGATCGGCCGATCAGCGTTGGAAACAACTGGCTTTTTTTCAAATACTGGCCCCAATTGACCATTGCACTTGTTTGCAATCGATTACAAACCTTTGAACGGGTACGAGCCAGCTAGACTGGTTCCATGACCTTACAATTCCCCAATGTATGTAAACTGCTCTGTTTCTTCTTATATGGAGTCAGGGAACCAGACTACAGGAAAATGATCGTTTTTCTTGGTTTTTATAGCATTTTCGAACCCAAAACCTCCAAAAAGTCAGTGTAACTATATTTGCTTTATATTTCCAACCCCCCAATTCCATCCATTTCTGAAAATTAGAGCAAAAGCAAATGATGTATATTCCCTTTAAGGGCTTTCTGCCGAGTTGTATAAAGGACGATTAAAAAATGTTGTGTCTTTCGGGACTTTTTAACAATTAGGCCGTTTTACAAAACTTGCAATTTTTCCCTCACCGTGTCTGCTATAAAAAGGTATCGTCTATATTTTAACATAAATCATTAATGGTGCTCTGTCCATGAAAGTTCCATTGTCTGGTTCCCATTCTACAGCTGCAAACACAAAATGAAGTCGAAGGATGATATTTCCACCGCGAAATCGTAAAAACTTTTACGGAATCAAAATAAGGACAGAGCGTTAAAAAAAATAAAACCGCACACCGTGTAAAGTGAACGGCAATTGCCAATCAGTAGACTTGTCTCATTGTTTTCCTTTCAGGGGAGAGGCAGGGTCTTAAGAAATCATCCTGCAGGCATAATCTTTAATCAACTTGGAACGTTACAGGGAAAATATCAGACCTTATTCAGAGGATGTTTTGGTCAAACATTAACTATGAATAAAAATTGAGATCATTATAAAAACCACTTCCTGCATACAGCGATAATAGGGAGTCCACCTTCATTCGCACACCCCGAGCATGTCTATATTCATAGGCATCGTACACGGAATAGACCACACCACGGTCGGATATGTAATATCAATTTGAAAAGGAAGATTTATACAACACAAAAGACGGAACAATTCGGGAAGGTTCTCTATCTCTATTCCGAACGAGAATAGTGATAAGTACCACAATAATACGGTGTCCCACCCTACAGTCGTTTTCCTAGTTCCGGATAGCAAACATCATTCAGGCAGCTTTCAGCTCAACTATTCCACGAATTCAAGTGACATTGATTAAAAAGTTTACTTGGAGTGATGGAGATACTACACAATAATTGTCCAAATTTAAGCTCCTTTTAATTTGACTTTACGACGTCAAAAGTACCGATGCCCTTTTCTAGTTCCGGATCGGTTCAATCAGTTCCGAATCGATCAAACACTGCTTCACGCCCAAAAAAAAAAAAACACACGATAAAATCAATTTTGCAGTCAGAAAAAACCTGAATCAAGCACATTTCTGATAAAGTATTATTTAATTTTCCAAAAATAGTTCATTCAAGAGAATTTCAGCAAATTTTTAAAAGAGAAAAAGTAAATGATTTTGAAACATTTGTCTGCAGCGCAACGGCACAAACTCACATACGGACTGAAAACATTTGACACAGCACAGAATACGTCTCATAAAATCGATTTAACGCGCGTGTAGTTGGGTTTTAAGTGCACGCGCGATCCGGAACTAGACAAACACATACAATGTATGGTCATTTGTTGGCGAATTTTCTACAAACCGTCCAAACATGTCAAAGTGCGAGTAGGATATCCGGCCAAAATTCTTCTTCTAAACATTTTATCGAAAAGATCTTTGTGTATCAAGAAGCTTACATTTTCCTTTTCAAAATGCACTTTGTCAGAAAAAAATATGGGAGACTAATCCAAAAGAGGTGGGTTTTTATTTGAAGCGATCCGGAACTAGGAAAAATCTCACTGCGCATATTCAGTGAAGTGCCAGTAAGTACAACAACGAAAACAACAGGAAAAATGTTGCAACCTGACGCCACTTTTTTTTCTTCATATATCATCTCAATGAAGGTCAGTCATTGCAAAAACGATGATATTAAATAAAGACATGAATCTGGGACTGAGAAACATTTCCAATTTTGTTGGGGGGAGGAACAATTGATAGGCGCATTACTAAAACTTAAGATTTGCAGTGACTGATCATCATTGATGTTATAACAATAAACTTATTGAAACGAAACGAGTGGAAATAGGATACTGCACACTTTCATCTTCTATTTTTAGTACTGGCCTATTAATAAATTTAGGTCTAATTTTAAATGCCAAATTTGAATTGACATGACATCAAAAATTTTAATGTACACAGTATCCAAATACACTTATTTAGGAGAAATCATCTTAAGATGCACCGTTGTTTGAACCTTGTTGTAAGCGTAAAACGCTCAGTTCATATGGGGCAGACCCAGGGTTTGGGTTTACCTCTGTATTGCAGCAACACGGCATCACGGCCACTTTAAAGGCTTTTCGCAACTGCCTGTATTTGAAGCCGTAAATGAAAGGATTGACCACCGAATTGGAGAAGGCCATGAGTTTGAATGCAGTGTTCAAACCGGGCGGAGTACTGAGGGTTGTTACTGGTAGACTGTAAATAATTCCCAAGATGAGGTTTGGAAACCAGAGAATAATGAAAGCCACGTAAACTATAAAAAGCGTCTGCACGACTTTTCGGCAGGCATACAGTAGCTCCAGTCCCGGTCCCCTGTTGTTTTCTTCCAGGAAGGTTCGTGCACTAGTCCGCAAACATTTGAGGATCCGCCAGTAGCACCAGAGAGTGCATATGGATGGAATGATAATGAAGAGAAAGTTGGTGAAGACATAGAAGATGCGACTGAACGTAGATATTCGTGGCCTGTCGCACTGGGAGGTGTCAGGGTTGAAATCTGGGGTCAGCATGTAAGGCAACTGTAGCAGCAGAGATAGCAACCACATGGCGACAAACAACACGATGAGACGTCGAACCGTGAAGTAGCGTTTGTACCGCAGCGGCTGCACAATGGCCACAAAGCGCTCAATGGCCACAAACATGAGGTGCATCACGGAGGTCTTGCTGCTCCACCAAACCAGGATCTTGTCATCAAACAGCTGGCAAAGGATCTCGCCGACCAAGGGGCTGGAGGGATGGAAGTCTAGGTCCCCAACATCCAGGACGTACTTGTTGAAGATGAGGATATTCAAGCAGACAACAAAGTCAGCAATGGCTAAGCTGAGCAGAATGTAGTTGGTGATGTTGTGCATAAACTTTGCCCTGATGATGGAGAGACAGACGAGGAAGTTACCAGCGATTCCCAACAGGCCAATAATCAGCTCTGAAATAGTCTCCCATTCCACCATCTTATGTAGTTGCTTCGGTCAGAAGAATATACACAAGAACTAAACTCTCTCTTTCTAACAGAAGTGGAGAATGATGACTCACCTAACCAAATGCAGTAACTTGCACGTTGCAACAAGACACATTGGACAGTTCTTTGAATAACCAAAGTAATTCCAGAGTCCTCGAAAGAACTTTAGGAAGTTCTTACATATGGGTTATTTCTCTTAACAATTAAATTCTCTTTCACTTGCTGTCAGAGTTAGGTCTTGGTGCTGACAACTGCTGCTGAGAGTATTGAACATTGCCTCAGTGTCTCACTGGGATTATAGAGTGCGATTGATCATGGATGCTTGCTGAGCCAGGCTGATTCGAATCTGGTACTGTTTTTTGCACTGACTGATGAATGCAGGCTGTGTGGTTGGTGCAGTACATGTTCTCCTTGTGGTCACAAACTCCACAGAAATGTTTCCTGGTAAATTGACTCAGACTGTGAAAGTCAATACAAGCTTCCTCACTGTGCAAAAGCTGTAATCACTCCGGATCCCTGTTGTATCAGTTGTAGAGACAGGATGTGCAATACATGTCAAAAACAGCTTTTTTCACACAAAAAACAACAGATGTCGGATTGAGTTTCAGTAATTAATCTTAGTGCTTGGCGCATGAAACCCTGCAGAGGAAATGGTGAGTGGGATTGTCTACATCATGTATCACACATGTGCGTGACATTTCTGCTGCACTTCCCCCAATGAATTTCTTACGGTATTCCATGTTGAAGTCCACAAAGATGTATTTTGAAGTCTCCAGTACAGTTTTTTCTTCAATCACTGAGCTTTATCACTGTTAAATCCAGAGCACGTCACCATCCCTGTGAAAATAAACTCGGCAGGGGGAATTTTCAATCACCACTCTACAATGTAGTTGATCGGCTTCTGTTGTCACCAAAGCTGTGTAAACGCTGCAAGAGTCCAATCAGAATGGCAAGCATGAAATGCAGAAACTTGAGACTCCAATGGGTTGTACGTAGTTCATCGGCTGGACATCTGGAGAAAAATAAGTGCATGCACTGTTCTGGGAATTCTGCACATGTACAATTCTCTGACATCACTTCAGAAACATTCCATTCATTTAATATTCCAAGTACTGGTATTCTCACTCGATGCAGTACTACTTGGTTCAAATCACTGTCAGATCCGGTGCGAAAGTGTCAGTCATTGAAAACAAAATGAAATTCCTGTTTCGGGGCTGAAGAATTCCTTTGCAGTCCTGCGGGATGTAAGTGCCCCATTCCTCTGCTGCAGTACCATTCCCCATCAGCATTTGAGTCTTAGTTTTTATTGGTAACCACGTTCCCTACCTTGTGAATACAAACTGCAAAAATGACGGGATTGGTTAAAGAAAAAGTAAATGATTAAACTCTCTGTGCCGGTCACGAAATAGCTGCGTATTGATTGATAGCCGTAGAAGCTGAGTTTTCAAACAAATCAACTTTATTTCAATTAGGTTGGGGCAGTAGCCAGCTGCCAGACTGCAGTGTGCAGGTGCATCATTAATTGATGGATGGTGTTTGAAGAATACCAATGACTGGGTTGCAACCGCACAGAAAGTGTGATAAATCCTCACTGCCGGTCGATACGTACAATCAATCAGAGAGCGTGTTGAGAGTTCCTTCCTTTGTAATTCGTGGGAATGAGAGCCATGCCGATGCTGGACATAAATTGAATTTTTTTTCATTTATTTGTGAGTTGTGCTGTGTGTTGATTTGACTTTCGAATACTTTTGCTGAGCTCTTATTATTGACTGCGTGTTTTGGAGTACCTGGTCCAGTAATTAATCATGCTGTGGTCAATGGCAACTGCTTATATAGACACTGCGGGCTTTGAAGTATTCTTGCATTAGTGGCATCTCTCTTTCAGACTTCAATTTTGACTTTTCCTGATTTTGAGAGGCTGATCCATCACATTTGTAAATATACCCTCGACTGCTGCCTTGTAGATGCATGCCCCATTGGACACTTAAAATCTTGACCTTTCTCTCTTACGTTGATAGTTGTCTGTGTGCGTTTATTACACCAGCTTGCTGGTTCTAGCTATGCATGTATCATATGTCGCATCGAAGAATTAGAACTTTTCTTTCTGTGAATACCAAGCCTTATAGTGCGAGGCAAAGCTGTGTTAACATTGAATGCAAGACTACAAGTGCACATCAATTATGAATATATCCAGCTGTTTTTTTGGCAAGGGAGTCAGCTGAATTCCACAAATGTTTTAAAGTGCTCTAAAATGGACATCGCAAATGATCCCTGTGGGATGATGCCAGCTTCTTTAGCCAGATCAAGGTCAGGTTGGGACCGTGGTGCCTCTCAGGTTTTCCTCCACATCTTAGGGAACCTGACATTTTCTTGATGGTCATTTCACAAAGTTTGGGCACTCAAATTTGTGTCAAAATGTCCACTTTGATGGTGCTGTAGTTCAAAGAATTAACTAGATCAAAAATAATTGAAACCTGTGATATAAGAAAAAAATATTTGGTTTATATTGGATTATCTTTAATAGCATGTCACTCACATTTGTGCTTGAAGAAAGTTGGACATAATCAGATGAAGATGAGATAGTGATAGTTTTGCATCAGAATTCCAGAATTTGTTGATTGAGTTCCGATATTGAGATTACCAATGTGACACAAAATTTGAAAAGACGAGTAAATATTTGATGGTTTGGATTGATGGAATGACCATCTGGTGAAATTTACTCTTGACAATCGGCCCATGAACTTTTATTTAAATATGGTATTCAACTAAGGTTATTGACAAATCATTTCTCAAAGTGCAGCTGCATTTATGTTATGTACATGATTAACATGAACATGGCTAGGAATTTGCATGCATATAATACAGTGTAGGCCGGCTACTTCACTCTGAGAGTTTTCTGCATTATTTGTTTCCTTGATAAAACTCCAGTTGCCTGTGGCAAAATTTTAAACATCGAACTCGTCACAGAGCTGCTAAGCACGGAAACGATTTGCTTTGTTGGAACTGATCATTTTAAGCATGTTAATTTGATAGACTATATTTCCTGCTTATGATGACATCCCTAGGGGGGGCTGTACCGCTGTAGGGTAATTGGCTGTGTTGCCTCCATGAATTTGCAGGCAGGTTTGCTGTACGTTAGTGAGAGACTAAAATACTAAACTACGTAAACATTCATGTTTATTATAAGGGTGCTTGAATGGGATGCCACTCTTGATAACCATCTGGTGTACATGTACATATGTGTATCTGTGTGATTTAGCGATGCATTACATAGCATCCCGGAAGATGTTGAGATACAAGTTCATGTGCTACATACACCATGTCTGCCATGATCTACCAACCTACATTTGTGTATAATCCGTGATGATTGATACATGTATCTTAGGTTTGTTAGTGACTGTCGTTTCATGCCTACTTAACTTACTCAAGCTGGCTCAGAATTCTGAAATGTCTAGCCTCAGAAATCTATCTACAATGTTGTCCTGCATGACCACACAAATACATCATTTTTCAGAAAGTATGCATCTAGACTGAGGCATATTTGGGTGACGTCAGCTGGATATTCCCCTATCAATTTTCTGTGTTACTCATAAACATCACAGCGAAGTTGTTTGTAATGTCGGATTGTGAAAATCACTTTTCTATCAATGCTCTGTGTCAATTATGATCCATCATTTGGAATGCATATTTTCAATTTTGTTAGGCAATTATTTTTCATTGTCAGCATGCCTTTATGGGATCAGATCTCCAATTCTTGCTCAGTGGCAGTGATCAAAATAAACCAGCGAGAGGAGCTGGATTTTCAAACAACTAGTTCAAGGGTTGTTTCACCCCAGTTATTATTAATATTTGCAATTGTCCGAAGAATCTAGGTTTTTGCGGCCGACCCAAGTATCATGCTCAATTGAAGCATCAAGTGGATGTCATGCATTTTTGCGTCTGCAATGCATCCGGTATATCATATGCTGACAAGAGAAAAAAATTGACTGATGAGACAGTTTACCTCGGCTAGTCCTGGCAATAATGGACTAGTTAATTAATGACAGTTGTTAAAGCTTTGATCATGATAGTATGTAGTGTTTGAATATTGGATATTGCATTGGCGTGGAAAGTTGGTTCTGATTTTGGAACGTGCTGGCCAACTAGAAGAAAACTACCATGGCGTCATGCCTGTTAATTAAAATGATTAGAATCAGTTGTTGACTTTGCAATTGTCCTGTTTTGTTTTCTAGAGTGCAGATGAACTCCAGTTCATTACATTGTATCTCATTTATTGCTTTTTGTTGGCTTTTAACCAAGAGAGTTTACATGTAGGTGTGTGTACTGGTTGAGAGTGTATTAATCAGTGGTGTTTAAAGACCACCTGGATTTATTAGCATAAAACACCATTGAATTGAATCTGGCTCCTGAATCTGTATTATAATTTACAAATTTAACATACTTTTTTTACGTGAAGCTTTAAAAAAATAATTTAAAAAAGTATGCAAGATTGTCTCATAGTTATATTCATTTACTCAAGAAGCCCGTTTTTTTTTTTAACTGCCCTCAGATATAGAATCAGAGAAGGGCCCGTGTTTTCTCATCTTCATATTTCTACTTGCGTGAATTGCACTGTATTCGCATCTCTGAAGTGCTCTGAAAACATTAAACGTACACAGCATCGTGGAGAGCTGATTTCCAATTGAAAAAAAAATCCACTTTGTTACTTTCTCATTTGCAGGTTAGATATTGCAAAGGGTCACACTCTGATGAGTCACCATCATGTCCTCTATTGAGAAGCTGAGCATCCGAGGCATCAGGAGTTTTGGCCAGGAAGACTCAGATCGGCAGATCATTGACTTTTTTCATCCACTCACGCTTATCACTGGCCAGAATGGGGCGGGAAAAACAGTGAGTTACAATGTACTTTAGACTCATGTATGGCCTTAAACCCTACCAGAGGATGTATGCAATTTGCCAGGGCCCTGCTGTAGCCAAAAATTTCAAACAGTTCAGATTAAAAAAAAAAAAAATAGTCACTGAAGTGTGAAGCCTGCTGAAACCTGTTGAAACCAACATGATCATACAGCTAGAAGAATCAAAATATTCTCTTTTCAGATGTACAATAACTGCCATAATCCGGTTCGTCAGTAAAACGTCATACTTGCGCGCACCACTGATTACTAGTGCCCATTGGATAAACACTCAAATTGCGTTAACTTCCGGTTCCATTCCTGCAATGCTACACCGTGTGAAGTACGCATGGTTAAGTCAAGATGACGTCACACTAACCAACTGGACTGTTCGCTGTCCGATCTTGTTTGATTCAGAGTGAATTTCGGTTAGTTACAATTTATATGTGTTCTGGGGTGTAAGTTGCATGCACTTGAATGACACAAACGTTATCACCATTTGCAAACAATTTCCCATTGCATATTCACAGATAGAGTGCAGATATTTGCATTGTTCACAAAAGTGGAACATTCTCTATTGTTTTAATGTTTTCTCACCTCAGACTGTCATTGAGTGCCTCAAATATGTCTGTACGGGTGACATGCCCCGGGAAGTAAAGGAAACGCCTTCATCCATGACCCTAAGGTATGATCGACATTAAACATTTGTACTTTTTTGGAAGGCAGACTGTTGAATTTTATTTTGGAATATATCTTTTTTACAATTGTAACAGAAGTTTACAGTGATTTGGGTTTTTTTCCGGTGAACATGTTGTCTATGTGCAAATTTCCTTACTCCCTCATCCCAATATTTTCTCGTGTCTCCAAAGGTTGCCCATGAGACAGAGGTTAAAGCCCAGGTCAAGCTGCAGTTTAAAGATGTGACGGGAAAAAAAGTAGTCGTCACCCGGAATATGATAGCCATTCAAAAGGTTGGTGATTCTCCTTCTGTGGTGACAATTCAGTTGCTTTTTGTTAACACATTTGATTACATCTTATTGTGTTGTGTGAAAAAAAGTTATTCCGTTAAATTTATTCAAATTTTCTTTTTTTTCAGTTGAAGAAGATAGAGTTCAAGTCTCTGGAGGGAGTCATCGCCAGGACCAACGAATTGGGAGAGGTTTGTCTTCACCTAGTTTGGTCTTGCTTGGTTTTGATTGGATTTGATTGGATTTGATTGTATTGAATTGGTTTGATGATTCAAGTTTATCATGGGGCAGATAGGGGGAATATTTGGGGGGACTGTTTATGATGAGGGATTTTGGGGGACTTTTATGATAACAGCATGGCATTTGGCACACAGCCAGAATATGTCTTGAGAAAGATATTTGACTTTAGGGCCATCGCAGATTTGTCCTTTGAAAAATTATAGGTAGAATAACAAGCAATTTTTCAAAATTTTCAAAGTGGCTGCCATTGCTTGTTATTCTACCTACTGACTGTGTGCCAAATGCCATGCTTTTATCACCAAATGAACAATCCCATCACCTATCTGCTGTACTATTTGAGTTTGGTTTGACTTGTAGACTTGTATTTAAGACACAACTAACAGTTTTTTGAATGCCATTTTAGAAAGTAAATTCTCGTTCTATCTTGACTCATCTGAGAAAAAAAAGCACCTTGAGAAGTTCTGCGCAGACTGGATATCTAATGCCGTAAATTTTTTGCTTTTCTTTATACAGAAAGTCAGCCTCAGCTCCAAGTGTGCAGAAATTGATCGTGAGGTAAGTAGCCTATTGCAACTTCTGACAGTTACAAAGTTAAGTTTAAAATCTGTATTCAGACCTGTTTCCCCCCCCCCCAAAAAAAACTTAGTTCAATTAAACCACGGATCCTCTACAAAAGGATAAACGACTCATCTGAGCTTGTGTACAAAATGTACGGAACAGTTTGTCTACATGCGTGATATGCTGCATCTGCACATAGAACAACGCACAGAACATGTAGAACAATGCGCTGCCATGATCGCCGACAGCTGGCATTCTGACAGAAATTTGACCACTGAAGACTGCAGTCGCGTGCCGAGCCTCGTGCACGCATGACGCGCAAGTGCCGTATCACGCATCTAACCAGAAATTTGGGGAAGTCGTTTGTCCTTGTGTAGAGGATCCGTGATTAAACGAAGTACTTTAGAATGGAAAACAAATACTGATTTTATCATGTATAACAGGAGGTCCTTGCAATGCATCCAACAATTTGTTTGCGGTTGGACAGATGCTTTCTCCAGAGTCTAATTGCCGTGTTTGTTTTGTAAATTGCCACTGTCATTTGTCATTCTTACCCAAAGACCCCTCCGACAGAGGGTGGAATTTGATATCCATTTGCGTTTCAACCCAATGCCAACTGTTTTGATAAATTTTTGTTACCATTATCCTCTGCTCAGTGGACACATGTATCAATACCCTCGATAAATGTGCAGTGTTTCTATGTTCTATTAGCCGATTTCTGCAACATTGCACTTTGTAAAATATTGTCCAAAGCGGTGTCTCTGAAACTTTTCTCTGTCCTTCCATAATTTGTCAATGTTTACAAAACGTGACATATTCTCTGTTTCGGTGCCAGGTGTATCACGGTCTGTATATGAGTGTGGTTTACCTCGGTTTGCGTCATCGGGAAAGGCAATTTATCGTGTTGTTGCAGGTAGTGGGTGCTTTCTATAGGATGCATTCCATCACACTATGAAATGGCAGCTCAATTTTCCTTTCAGAGAAACCTGTTTCTCAGCCAAAAAGAAAAGTAAAGGTCAATAAGCATCAATATTTTTGAAATCTTGGTTGCTTTATCAGATTTTTACTGTTTCGGCTGCTTTATTTTATTCCTTTTCCAAGTCAGATATACCGTATCTGTTTAATTTTTATTACAATAAATAAAGGTATACATGTACTTATAATATGGACTGCAGCACTGACCCAGTAAGATCTCAACAGTTAAGTGTTTGGTCAGACTGGAAAGAAATGTAGCTTGAAAGAAAAATGTGTGGTGCGTTTATGCAGATGGTTGCCTCGTTAGGAGTCTCCAAGCCTGTCTTGAACAACGTCATCTTCTGTCATCAGGAGGAAGCTGCATGGTGAGTCCGTCGTTCACATTAAGCAAAGTCTTGCTTCTGAAGTGTCCCAATCCACTAAAATGAGTCGGAACGCGCCAGACCTACTTTTGAGTAAAAGATTTTTTGCTTTCACATACATTGCAAAATGGAAGTTAACAGGAATAAAGTCCACATTTGTACCCACATTATATACATATAACTTAGATGTTAATTTCAGTGATAAATCAAAATGAAGAGCACATGGAGGCATCACCTTCAGATCATGATCCCGCATTGGGTAAAAAAAAGCTGAAGACACAGGGATTCACTCAATTGATTTTACTCAGTAGTTTTTGATGTTCTATACTTTTTTGGAGTAAAATGACTTATAACTTGGACTTTGATCAGCCAGCATGTAGAAGAAGACAAACCATCGTATTGCAATTAACATGGATACTTTTCTTCTCACCAGGCCTCTGAGTGAGGGCAAAACACTGAAGGGCAAGTTTGATGAGATCTTTGCAGCAACACGGTGAGTTTTGTCAGCAATGTTACGTCAATTCATAGTCATTTGATATAATATTGGAGGTTTGCTTTTGGACAATTTCAAAAAGAGGAGATTTCGAAGATGATGTTTCATAGGTAATGTGGAGTTTAATACATTATTCAGTAACAACGAATATCTGATGCTGAGGTAGCAGCATTGGCACAGTTCAATCTGTGCTTCTTGAAAGTCAGGAAGAAAACAATGGCTCAAATTGGAATGGAACCCCTGACCTCCCGCTTCCAGATGCAGTCGCTTAACCGTTCAACTGCCTAAGTATCTCTGGTGCCTTACCACCATTCCTTTTTCAATTCTCTATTTTTCAGGTACATCAAAGCATTGGACGTCATCAAGAAATTACGCACAGAGCAGGTACATGCCGAGAAAAAAAACTCATATATGCATTTTATCATCACAAAAAATAAACTTTACTTCTTCTGCGCAGGTTCTGTATTGATACTATGATTCAAATGATTAGTAGAAATGTATTCATTAATCTTGAATGGATGCACATGTGTTTATTTGGTTCGCAGAGTGCTAACATTCGGGAGTACAACACTGAAGTGAAGTACCTGAGAGAGCGGAAAGACAAAGCAAAAGAGGTCAGTTCAGGTCAAAGTTCATCTGGCCCCTAGGTCATATCTCATTAAACCATGCTGAACAAAAGCTTCCCAAATTTGTTTACATTAAATTGGTTATGATGTAACCAATCTGGAGCAGAAGACAAAGTCCCACAAGGAGTGTAGAGTTGCAATGCAAATAGGTCTTGCCAAAAAAAAGATGATGTTTTTGAGAAATTGAATTCCCGATATTTTTTTATTTGGTATAGCTCGCAAGTGATTTAGAAAGCAAGAAAGATAAACTGAATGCAGCTAAAGAATCAGTCAACCAAATCATGAGGGAGCTGCAGCCCATCATGGTAAGTACTTGCAAAAAATGTAAATATACTTTAAAGATTATTCACTACCCGTGTTATCAGTTAGGCCCAAAAAAAAAATATTCGGTCTCTGGTCAGACCAAAGTTCCGGAATTGACGCGGCCACGCGGCTTTTTTTTTTTTTTTTGCTTTTTTTTTTTTTCTTCAAGCTTGGATTGTACAGACAAGGTGGGTACTATTTTGCTTTTTTGGTGTCCTCATGTATATTGGTGTCCTCCATAATTTGCCTTGGTGCTTTCGATCATTTGCCTTGGTGCAATTTCCCATTCCTTGGTGCTCTTTGGTTAAAAAAAATGAGGAGGTGCGGAAATAGAGGGCGCTGTTGGAGCTACCGCGGAACATTTTGGAAAAAAAAAAGATCGACGCGCATGATTAAAATCGACGCGCGCGCTGACCAGAGACCGACTTATTTTTTTTTTTGGCCTTAATTGCAAATTTCTGAAATTAACAAGTTTTGGCTTTGGGATGGGAAAAAATATTTACAAAACAGTAGTCACAATATTTCCTGCAGCATATTCTATTTTATTTATTATTATAATTACACATGTACTTATTATTTTTTTGTGGGGGATTGATGTTTTTCTCGTCAGTGTTGAAATTACTTGGATGTAACTCATTTAAAGTATTTGAACACAATAAAATCATTCTTCCTAACAGATTAATAATAGTGCTTTTAGCATCAATGATTTTGATTATTTTTTGCCCGATATTTAGGGAAGAATACGTGAGATCGAAGACAGGGAGGAAGAAATTAATCTTCTGAGCACAGAAGTCGGTAAGGATTCAAACCGCATTGTGCCTCTTATTAATTAAGCTTTTGCACTCCATCACTGTGGTTTAAAAATGCTGAGGTTTATTGAAATTTGCAAGTTCTTGCCTCTCTGTGCGTGTATCATTTAGGATATGGCTCATTGTACACATGATCACAAGACAAAAACTGGAGATAGAATTATTTTTGAGTTCACAACTTGTGAAAACGAGTGTGTGACCCTGTTGACACTGGAAATCATGCCATGATTGCAGGAGCACAGCTTGAAAAACCTTGTTAGTCATGTTAGTATTACCAAAGGGCTGTGGGGTTTCAAGAGCTACATACAATGCATGTTTCTGCTTTTTTTTTGTAATTTTGCAGCAAAGTGTAAAGTTGAAAAGACTCAAATGGAGAAGAACAAGCGAGAACTGGAGGACAACTTGGAATTTATCTTCCAAGGTAGGGTTGACATAATTAACTCGAATTTCGGCAAAATATTGTAGTAGCAGTCATACCTGATTCCTCCACAGTGTATGCTTATAAAAACAATGTTTGACCTTTCTGCTATCTGAACAGTCACAGACAGTCAAAAAATCAATCATCTTCCGCCTGCCATGCCTTTTATGCAGGCTAGTCACCATCAGTCAGATCATATTTCAAGCAAGCACTGTGACTAGTCCAATTCAGTCAACAGACAAAAAGCAGACAAGCGGTAGGCAAAGCTGGCTTATCAATCACCTACAATCAAAGCATAGCTGTATCAAGTTACACAAACAGTCACACCCAGCCAATCCTGCTTTATATAGGTTTGGAGCTCTTAACTGTATGAAACAGTCACTTGATTGATTTTGACCGAGAGGACAACTTGGCACAGAATGTATATTTGCATAGGAATGTTAAGAAGTAGATATGTGATTCAAGAGTTCTTTGATGATTTCAGGTAATTCTGAATGGTTTTGTTTCAACTCCTTAGGAACTAATGAAGAGCTGCGCAATATCTTTCAGGAACACCGGGCAAAAATCGATGAGAAAGATAAGACTTTAACCCAGGTATGTACATCAGATTTCAAACAAGCCTGCATCTTTTTTTGTTTTTAATTTTGGGTGCTTCTTGATATTTATCTATAGATAGTTGTTTTGATCCTGCAAAAACCTTATATTGTCAGAGGTATTGCAGTTATCGCAACTACTGAAGTTACCTACAGAGTGCTGCTGATTTTGACATTGCTGCACTGAACAGCCTCTTATTTTAACATTATTCTCATCATGTAACAAATGCAGAGACTTGAAATGATTCTGTTTGTTGCGTAAACATCCGAATGATTCAGGCATGTGTGTTTGTATCTGCAGACGGAGAAGAGACTAGCTAGTCTGGAGAAGACTCTACAGAAGGAAAGTGATAAGAAGTCCAAACTGCTGATGAACCAAGGCAAATTGGAGCAGGAACAAGTGGTAACAAAAAATATGAAATTCTTTTAATAAGATGGAATTTGCGCCGGGTAATGTAACTTCAACATTGGGCCTTGCTCTTTCACCAACTTTTTTTTTTAATGGCAAGGCCCACTATTGAATTAACATCACCCCTACGCCAATTCCATCTTCTGAATAGTTTGGTTGAGGTAACTGGTGCTATATCGGATTCGATCAAGCCAGCTGACCCAGGCTAGCGCAGTGGGTCGAGTGGTAAGGAGTCTGCACTAGCAAGCAGAAGGTTGTGGGTTCAAGTCCCACCACAGTAGTTTGTACATTTCTTCCTCACAATCACTCGGGACAATACAGAGTATGCAGTGTCATAAGTAAAGTAGTCGGTGAAGGGCAAGGCCCAATATAAAATGAAATTCGCTTGATGCCTAGTGCTTGTATGTATCCCGAAAATCTTTTTTAGCATGTACTTGTTTTTGAAATTGAGCAGTGTCCCTTAGTGAAAGTATTAAACCGTACCTTAATGTCCCAGACAATCGGCTCAACGAAAGGTCAAGTTGGCTTAGGATACAGGTAAATGTACCAATGAAACTATTTCCTTACAAGGGCTGGCATTTTTGCATATTTTTTTTGTCTTTTGTATTTGTACTTTTCTTAGCAACATCTTGACATGATAAAGACAAGGAACACTGGCATAAAGAAGATTGCTGCTGATATGAACTTTGCAGGTTAGCGAGTGTCATTGTTATTTCTGTAGTTATTAATTATCTGTGCTCATTGTTGATGGTCTTTAGTGTCTCTACTATGAGGAATTTCAAAAGTAAATTAAACAAGCACAGTAGGGTTTTTTTATTCTCTGAACAGGTTTTACTGCTAGCTCGTTTTCTGATGAGAAGGTGAAGGAGTTCCTACAGATGATGGACAATGTCATGAAGGATATGCAGGATGAAGCTAAGGAATCTCTGGTAAGTCTTCAAACAATGGTGCTGTTAGCTTAACAAAAAAAACAAGGAATGCATGCTCTGATTAGTTGAATTGAATATTTGGTTATTGAGAAGTGAATCTTTAGAATTATAAGCTTTTCCTTTGTAGGCCGAGTACAAGAGCAGAGAGGAAGTCCTCGAGACTCAGATACAAGAGTTCCGAGACACCAAGACCAAGCTACAGCACACCGTGCAGATGAAGAGTGACATGACGGTAAGTTTAAGAAAATGAATGCTATACACCTATGTCACAAGAAAGACAAAATTAATCAGAAGATTGATAGAGGTTGAGCCAGTGGAACAGGCAGCCGATACGCATGAGCTTATAAAATGTATGAGGTGTTTTAAAGGTAGGGTAGATTATTTGTCATTTGCGCATTTGTTTCCTTTGAAGCAACAAAAGTGCTCAAAATCTAAAGCAGGTGCTTAACAACTAACCTGATGAAGCTTTAGTTCAGTGAATGTTGTATATTCCGAGAAAACAATATTCTAGGATTTTGATTTGTTTTGAATTGCACCCGAAATCAGCATCCTGGACACGTTCTCATTCTGCCGATGGCAGCTACGTGATTTCACGCACTGAACCAACGAATAATAACAACCGTGAGCATGTGTGCGTCGTGTCAACGCTAACGCACAACGCTAACGCACAACGCTAACGCACACCTATTTACACATTCGCCCAATTACAAACCAACTATTAATTGAAGTTTCCAAAATTGCCTCACTTGACGCATCTTTGGAAATGGCCGTCTTTTTTTTTTTTTTTCAAAATGACAGCATGCCAGGAAGAATAATTTCACAGGGGGTTTATTGCCATTACTATCTTTAAACCAAGTAAGCTTTTCAACAATAATGTTGTCAGTTACTTTTTGGATAGCTGCAAATGATTTACTCTACCTTTAAGTCCTTGTTGAAAGTAATGCCTTTTGCCTGAATTTCTTTCAGGCCAAGAACAAAGATGAGCTGAAACGAATCAATCAGCAGCTGAGTCGAGTGGAAGCAAATGCCCACCGTCTAAGGGAACTTGAGGAGGACCTAAAGAGAGCCGTGAGTAATCAGAGTATATGTATACTCGTTCTGAGTAACTTTGAGCTTAACTACCCCTCCCTCCCAAAATCCCCCGCCCCCTAAGCGGTGATGTCACAATGCTGGCATTTAAGTCCAAAATGGAAATGTTATCGTTTGCTTGGACGTGATTTGCATTTCATTTGTTATGTACATGTTTTGTGCTTTTAGGAGAGTGAGTTGAAAGAGGCTGAGGGTGCCATGGATCTAGACAAGCTGCGACAGGAGGTACATAAGCTGCAGGCCGAGAAGCAACAGCATGATGCTCAGATGAGCAAACTCAGGTAGGAATTGAATATGATGCTGTGGCTGGTCTATGTATCAGATTAATAGAGCACTCATTGATAGTTTGAAGGTATTTTGCTGATAGTTTGTAGATAGTTCGTAGATGCTTAAGAGATTGTTTGTAGACAGTATGCTGATAGTTCATTGATAGTTTGCAGATAGTGTGCCGATACAGTTGATTTGGATGCACTTTGCAGGTAGTTCTGAACTTGTTTGCAGATACTTCACAGCCTACTATATTACATCCTTCAAGGGCAAAAGAGACAATAAAAAAAGTCTATCCGATGTTATTTCAAAACTTGAGATCTTTCTGTTATGGAAAGGACAATAACTGTTGGTTACTGTTACTGATCTGTAGCAAGGAGATGTCGGCCATATCTCTGCAGTCTAAGGCCAGAGCTCAGCTGGAGATGCTGCAGAAGGAAAAGAATGCCAAGGAAGAGCAAATCAGAAAAATGTAAGTCAGTAGCTCTATATACCTTCCCTCCCCCTACAAAAGAAAATAAAAAGGAAAAAGGGTTTGGGGATTTTGTTGTCGGCTTATGTCATGATATGAAAGATCAGTAACTAACTGCGTAAAGAATGTTCTTCCGGGAAGGAGAGCGTTTACTTTCTACCAAAAAACCTAGACTGGAGACATGTATGACTGCGTGCATGTAAATAACGAGTGCCGACACCAGAAAGCACCTAGAATCATATTATTATGCATCGTGACGGTTCTACCTTCCCTGATTGGACTAAGAGCAGAGCACATTTCCTATTTGTGTTTGTGCACACATTTAAATTAAGTTGACCCCACATCAGATGTCATAACTTCAGTGCTTGGCTGGCTGTTTTCTGACTGTATATATCTCAGACTATCTTTCTTTTAACATTTGGGTTGTTCCCCAACTTTTGGTTTTGCAGTCGCAGTCGTCATGAAGAGGATGTCAACCATCTCCTCGGTCACTTCCCAACAGAGAGCATCAGGAACAAACTGGCTGACTATCTCATGTGAGTCGACAACATACTGTTAAGAAGACTTTGTTTCCGTTATTCATTTATCCTCCTTTGGGTAGTCTATGGAATAGACCTTTGTACATGCGAGCAGACTTGGCGATTAATTATGCAAAGCAAGACTGCGCCATGACCCCGAGATTTTGACCATTCAGCGGGCGCCTTGTATCGGGTCTTCCGTAACCAGCTGTTTGTATTACAAAAACGTGTCAGCCAATTGACCAATCAACAGCTTAGCCCACATTTTTGATTTAAATTTCTAAAGTCGACTCTGAATGGCTGGCGCGTGGGTCGCATATATTTGCGTTCCTTAGATATATCAGATGTTCGATATGGAAATGGCTGCGTTGGACAATGGGTGATACTCAAGTCTAGCTGTGGGTGGCAATAAGCTATTTTGAAAAATAAAAGTCCTCCAAGAAAGATGTGGAAGCTTGGCTTGAAATATGGTGAACACTGACTTAATCTTTGTGATTGACTCTGTAGGTCCAAGGAGACTGATGTTCGAAACTCCCAGACTGCATTGCAGCGAATCAGAGGCCAGCTAACAACTAAAGAGGCCAACAGAAAGATGATCATGTAAGTCAAAAATATGGCCATGTTCAAATCAACTGGCTGCGACTGGGAGTAACACACACGTCTATGGGAAGTGGCTGTAGCCACAAGCCAGTGGCTTCCATAGGTGCACATGTTATTTCCAGCCGCAGCCACAACTATCAGACACGGCCTAATTTGCCTTGGAGCAGGGTTGGTACTAGACAGGAAGTCAACCCTTTTTCTCAAAAACCCCAATAACTGGCTTTCCGACTTGCCATTTCGTAGATTGGCATCATCCTGTTCGTTAGTGTGACGTCACCTCCAGCACTTTCTGCACGATTGGAACCGGAAGTTAACGCAGCTCGAGCGTTTGCAGCGAATGGGCGCTAGTAATTAGTGGTGCGTGCGCGTGTATGACGTTTTTACTAACGAGCCGGATAGCTTTAATGTATATAACACCACATGACTTTTAATTGACCAATCCAGGGATCAGCTTAAGAAGAAGGAGGAGGAGTTACGAGGTTACGAGGGCCGGATGCTGCAGGAGTGCGGCAGCCAGGATGTTGCCAACTCACTCAAGGAATTACAGCAGGCTATTAATAACCTGCAAAGGTATGGCATGCCTTGTCTTACAAAATCAAACATGCTTCATGTCAACAAAATTCAACCTTGCACATGCATCCGTAAATAGTGCATGGGAACTGCCATGTTTTGTGTATATAGCTTTAATTGGTCTCCGCTCCTAATTGTACTCAGCAGAAAAATTTCCTGAGCAAGATTATCTGCGTAACAGCGTCGTGAAATTTGGTAAAGAATGTTAATGAAAGTAAAGATGACAGTGCAATTGTTTCAGAGTGGATTCCCATTAATAAGCCATTTGTCAATAGCCTACACCCTTTGCGAGTTGAATTAGAAAAACATCTGGTACACTGACTTGCTCATAATGCTTGGCACGTTTTAGCTTTGAATTTTCCAGACCAAAGACACTGTTGCTAAATCACATGATTCGGGACAAGCCCTTGCGTAGTTACTTAAGAGATGCTCAGCACCAATACATTGCTCACAGTGGGCGAGAATGGCACATAGACACCAGACCATGCCGGAGCTGGGGGTTGCTAGCATAAGGCTTTCCCCCAATCCCGTGATACAGCAACAGTCTCTTAAGTCTGGAGAATTCAAAGTCAAAATGTGCCAAGCATTCGAGCAGGTCAGGGTACCAGATGTTACGTAAATGGCTTATTGGATATTAATTTTGTTTGTTTGTTAATATACAGCGAGAAAGGTGCACTGACTGGCAGTTCCCACCTGTTTGAACGCTACATTCGCTCTCTACAGAGAGCAGAGGCCCAGTGCCCGTTGTGCCACAGGGGCTTTGATGGACAGAGCGAAGTGGATGAACTCGTACAGGAGGTAATAGCCAGAGAAATAAGGGGCAAGGCACTTAGCTGTGAAAACTGTCAAGAAGCTCGTTCGGGTGATCCAAACCATAGCCACACATGTCACAAAGTGTAAATTGTGATCTCAGCAAAAACTTGTGTGCAGCAACATCGCACTTCCGTAATCCACTCATGAGCAAAGCAAAGCCTGTTTTTATCAACTTGAAAAGGGTTTGGTCCGATAAAAATTACTTTTCTTGTCAACTTTGTATCAATTGGTATTGGAAATTTACACTCTTCAGGTGACCACTCAAATTGTCTATGCAAATAAAATTTCTCCAAGCAGCTTTTTGTCTAATTTCATCCTCTTGTACGTATTAGAGTAGTCACCCTCTGGTAATCCATTCATGAATGTAAAAGTCAAACTGACTGAGATGTCTTTTCTATTCTTTTTTGGTTTTTTTGACAGCTTCAAGACAAACTTCGTATGGCTCCTGGTAAAATGGCAGAGAAAGACAAGGCCATCAAGCAAAACAGAGCCAAATACGACAAAATGATCGAGCTGAAACCTGTTAAGGACAGTGTAAGTTATTTCATTCATTCAATTCTAAAAAATTGTATGATTCATTGGACCTTTGAGAAACTATTACCCCTCGCTGATTAAACCAAACTTTTGGATGAGTAATTCTCAATGTTGACGTCTTGGTTGCACACAGATGACCAAGCTTTCAGATCGAGAGATACCAGAGCTCAAGTCCAAACTCGCTGCCGTCAACACCGAGATCGAGAAACTTCAGACCGCACTGACAGATGTAAGAATTCATTACCCACTTTCTAGTTTTTCATTGAACACATTATTGAAACTGTACAAGATGGTTGCATTACTGTTTAAAATTTCAACAACAAAAAAGAGAAAGAAAATAACTTAAAAATCCTATTGGCATTTACAATTCCCCAAATCTGTTGTCTTGTAAAATGTTAATATTGTTTGGATTTGAATTGTAAGGGAGAGGACCCCTTGAGTATTCTTGAAGTAGATGTGAGCATGGCCAATGAGATGAAACCGGATATCTGGCAAATGGATGGCTGCCTGAGGGAGCTGAGAGACCTGGAGAAGAAGCTAGCTGTCCAGTCACAACAGCTGTCTGGAGCAGGTAAGGGTCAAGGGTCACATGTCAGGTTGTTAAACGATGGCAATACAGTCAAACTAGCTTACTTGAGCCATAGCCAGTCACAGCAGCTGTCTGGAGTGGGTACGGGTCAAGGGTCAGGGGTCAGTTTGGTAAACCATGGCTGTACAGTCACACTAGCTTACTTGAGCCATAGCCAGTCACAGCAGCTGTCTGGAGTGGGTACGGGTCAAGGGTCAGGGGTCAGTTTGGTAAACCATGGCTGTACAGTCACACTAGCTGACTTGAGCCATAGCCAGTCACAGCAGCTGTCTGGAGTGGGTACGGGTCAAGGGTCAGGGGTCAGGTTGTTAAACCATGGCTGTCCAGTTACACTAGCTGACTTGAGTCACAGCAGCTGTCTGGAGCGGGTAAGGGTCAGGGGTCATGTTGTTAAACCATGGCAGTACAGTCACACTAGCTGACTTGAGCCATAGCCAGTCACAGCAGCTGTGAGGGTGAAGGTCAGGGCTAAGGATAAGTCATAAGATAAAAGAATGTCATTTTATAATATTTGACAGTAATGAAATATAACGTGTTGATGATTTCTGACGTAGATGCTGGTCGGACCATTCAGCAAGTGAACGCTGAGAGACAGGACTTGGAAATCAAACTGTGAGTTGCCCAACAATGTTTCCCTCGTAGAATAAATAAATTACATCGTAAGCTATTGTATCGTACAAGCTATGCCAAGTGACCAACTATGCATTTTGTATAGAGTGAATCTATCCAAAACAAAATCATCTCAGTATTTAGGCCTTTTTTAAATTAGAATTAGTTGTAAATATTCTGATTAAACGCATGCAGAACTTGCTGTGATAGCCAAATTTGATGTGTCACGGAATTACGTCACTAGTGCAATTCATCCGTTTTCATTTTCCAGCGACACCGTCAACCGAACCCTGGACCACAAGCAGGGCCAGATCAACGAGCAGAGCGAGCGGCTGCAGCTGCTGGGCGCCAGCGTCAACAGCATCACCAGCGAGAAGCTGCGACTGAGCGGGGAACTGCAGCAACAGGAGAAACTGCAGAGCCAGCGGGCAGAGCTGGACTCAGCCAATCAGAGCTATGCCAGGGAGATCACGGTCAGAAAAAATCACTTGTATGATGCACTATTGATTAAATAAGATTGACTGTTTATCTGAGAAGGACATTCTGGAAAGTCACAATTTTTATTTATTTATTTTTTATATCTGCAGGATGCGAGAAACCAACTCCAACCAATAGAAGTAAGTGTGTGCCATCATCTTGGACTTGCATCTTATCAACAAAAGTAGGGACCTTCATAATTGGTTGATATTAACCAGGTGTCCTTGGGCAAGCCACTTTACTGCAATAAGAGTTAATGTGACTTCAGAAGTGCCTGAGATGTGACACATATAGTGTCTATGAAAATAAAAGTACCTTTTTCCTGTGCGTATTAGCATCTAAGTTGTAATTACTATGTTGATACTTTCAGCGTAAGTTGGACAAACTGACCAGAGAGAAGACCGCCCTCCAGAAGGAGAAAGATTCAAAGGTGGAAGAGCACAAAGCCCAGCTGGACAAAACGCATAACAAACGAGGAGATATCAGTGCCTACACAAGGAGTATCAATAGGTAATACATCTCACAATCTAGATACAATAATAAATGGCAAAAACATTTTTTACATACGGGAAATTAGATTTTGTGGTGTCCCTGGAGACGCTGTGTGACTATTTTCACTTCATCATGTCTTTTTTTGACATCCAGAAGGCCATGGACATTGTGTGTGTTAAAAAATTGACAGTTTCCCCCTGATTTTTCCATAGGATTGTAGCTGAAGAGTAGTCTTGCCGACAAGACTTGTTCTGTAGAGTTTTGCTAACCCATATGCATTTGCGCATGGTTTACTTGCAGGTACATCTCGTCAGGCAAGGAGGAGGATCTGGAGGCAGGCCGCTCTGAGATTGCTGCCAACGAGGACAACCTGGCGAGGATCACCAACGAGAAGAAAGAGGTGACAACGACCATCAACCAGTTGAACGAGGACTTGGCCAAACAGCAGGTGTGCAAAACATGATGTGTAACCACTTTTTTTAGTTATTTATATTGAAGTTAGAAACAAATGATAAGAAATTGAAGTACGTAATGGGGCATCACTCAAAGGTGTTGTCTTTTCCATCATTAGTCAGTTGGAAATAAGACAAAATTGTGCTCAATGAAAACTGAGATGAAAGGCCGTCATTGATGCACTCATAATGGCAATGTACATTAGAATGTTGAGCTGTATGATGTATCAGAATGAAGAGCTTGGTATTGTGTATATTAAAAGATTAATAATTACTGGAAAGTCTCTCAAGTCTCATTTCTTTGGATCTCTTTAAGGTGAGAGAGCGAGAGTTATCGGACAACATCCAGCTGCGCAAGAAGGCCAGCGAGATTGCCAAGGTCCAGCAGAACCTGAGCAAATTGGAGGAGCAGCTGGGAGGCATCGACCAGGAACACGTCAAAGAGGAGAAGAGGACACTGAATGCCAAGTGGCACAGTCGGAACAAAGAGGTGTGCATGATGGGCCAGGGGAGGGGTGCACTGAGTGGTCTTTAAGGGGGTATTAAAAGGGTTCTGTTTCAACTTGAGTTTACAAAGTGTCAGAGTGTTTTGGGGGTTCAAACCATTGTCAAATGTTAAATGTAGAGTACATCATTTGTCATTCGTGCATTTTTTTCGGTTGAGGCAACAAAAGTGCTCAAAATGTAAGGAAGGGTGCTTAATAACTAACCTGACCAGCAACTGCGCGCGCGTGTGCGTCATGTCAACGACAGCGCGCGCTTCGCCGAATCAAGAAAGGAACTACTAACGGAAATTTCCAACGGTGCGTCTTAAGACTCACCCATCGTTGGAAAGGCCTTTTTTCGTTGATTTCTTCAAAATGACAGCATGCTAGAAAAAAAATGATTTCACAGGGAGTTTAGTTCCCTTACTATCTTTCAACCAAGTGTGTTTTTCCACAATAATTACATCAGTTACTTTTTGGATAGCTGCAAATGATGGACTATAGGTTTAAGATATTGCTTATTCATTGGACATGGTGATTGAATGGAGACGCTGGTTTTCTCGTACGTCGGATTTTGGACTTCTGGAAGTATCAGTCAGGGATTTGGGCATGTACATAACAAGTGTCCGTGTGTTCGTCTTTATTTTGTAGAAAAACCAAGCAGATGGGAGGCAAGCTGTGCTCAAGGAAGAAGTCAAGAAAGTGGAGAGGGAACTTGCGTCAGACATGTACCACAACGCTGACGATAAGTACAACGATATGATGATCCAGCTCAGGGTATGTACTGTCAAATGTCTCAGTCAGTTAATGTATTTTCCTCCACTTTATATCATGTACAAATATTGATTTCCATTCCCATAAATTTGGTTAATGATTAGAAATACTCTCAGAGCATAGCTTGTTTTTTAATTATTATTCTGTTCTTTTTACGTCTTTAGACTACAGAGATTGCCAATGATGATCTGGACAAGTACTCAAAGGCGTTGGACAAGTAGGTCATTTTTTGTCAACCGTTGTTTCTATAATGTTCTAAAATAATACTCATTCTTAAATTTATGAATGTGGGGTCTGAGTAATGAGAAATCGAAGACCTGAAAAGTAAAGTTCACGTATGTAGTACAGTGCAGTTGAGAAACATTTGAGAGACGGGCAATTAGGGAAACATCAGTTTTAAGATGCAGGGGGAAACACCTAGTGAGTTACCTTTTGAAAGAGTTTGAAAAAACGTTCAGTGATTGTATTTGCCGCGTTTCTTTGTGTTTCAGAGCAATCATGAATTATCACCAGATGAAGATGGCAGAGATTAACAAGATCATCAGGGACCTGTGGCGAGTCACATACAAGGGACAAGGTAAAAAGCTTCCCTAGTTCCTCGCCAAGGGACAAATGGCCTTGAAGTTAAGTTGCAACTTCATTCAAAAAACACCGCTCCCTTTTTTTTTTAATGGACATTAACCACATTGGGCTTTGATGTTTTTACTAGCACATCTTTTCGAAGTATTGTATTAGCCCCAACCCCATCCTGCATGCAATGATTGACATGTGTTCTGTGGCTTGAGGTTATAGGTTGGAATCCAACTTTGTGAATCCAACTTAAACGTCCTTATTTTGCCACCGTTTGACTCATTTTTGCAGACATTGATTTTATTGAGATCCGTTCGGACGAGGACATTGGAGGTACAACGCAGCGCAAAAACTACAACTACAGAGTAAGTTAGCTTTTTTTCTGTTTGCAGGTTTAATTCCTGATTCTGTCATTTGACTGTTCATCTACTTTTCTCTGTTTGACAGTTCTTGTTTACACATATTACAGCCTTTACACATGAACCTGCAACCAACATGTGGGCATTGACAGCTCTTGAGCATTGGTACTGCATTTCTGAGATATCTGGTTTGAATCTTGTTTTTAAAAACTGAGTTACGTTTTTGGTCTCCCTTTAATTACTCCCATCATTAAAAAAAAAATTTAATTACAACGTCAGTCTTAATAATGAACTTTGACCCCAATTTACATCCATTTGTCTTGGTCAGGTTGTCATGGTGAAGGGAGAGACATCTCTGGACATGAGAGGGCGCTGTAGTGCAGGTCAAAAGGTCAGCAAAGTTTTGTTGTAGGAAGGTTTTCGGAACCCCAGCTTTGCCTATTTGGCTACAGAATCATTTTGAATCCTGTTTTCCAAAGCATCATGTTTTAAGATGCCATGTTCTAAACCAGATAGAACAGGTACTTAAAATAAGCAGGAGTCCCCTGAATGACGGCAATTTCTGAAGCAATCAGGACACATTTGCACCTACTTCAAATCATTTTCCATATCCTAGCTCATAGTAATTGTACCTTGAATGGCTGTCAATTCCGTAGGTTCTGGCCTCCTTAATCATCCGGCTAGCCTTAGCCGAGACATTCTGCCTGAGCTGTGGCATACTTGCCCTGGACGAACCCACCACCAACTTGGACAAGGAGAACATCGAGAGCCTGGCCCAGGCGTTGGTTGAGTAAGTACACATCTCTCTCTCTCTGACTGTCATAGCAGGTGGGCTTCTCAGGAATCCCCAATGTATATTGATGAGGGAAGAAAATGTGACCAATCTAACCAGACACTAGAAACATATTTTTTGTGTGCGATGGCCTTAATTGAAGATAGGTGTACATTTTACGAACCCAACCTTTATGTTCTGATACCATTCATGTACCGTATTGTGATGCTTTGTTTGCATGGCAACCCAGCATCATCAAGAGTCGGGAGCAGCAGCGTAACTTCCAGCTGATCATCATCACCCACGACGAGGACTTTGTGGAGCTGCTGGGCCACTCAGACTACACGGACTACTTCTACCGTATCACCAAGAATGATGAGTAAGTCTTGCAAAACGTAGGCTGCACTATTTATTTCAACATCACAAAATCAGCTCTTCTCCTTTCAATGGACTATGTCTTAGAGGTACTACGTGTCAACGTACATTGTACTTCTTTTGATCCTGAATAACTCTGTTGTTTACAAATGGAATTGAATCAAATGCTTTTAGAATCTGCCACTTTTGACTTGGCGTCCTCCAATGTCGATACAGCGCTGGAGACAGTGGCGGAAGGTGCGTGCTTCCATTTCGGAAGGAATGCAGTGTCATCCCTGACGTCATTGCACACCTCGATAGTTTGGGGCAACACACCATCAAGGAGGTGTGCAATGACATCAGGGGTGAGCCTGCATTCCTCCAGAAGCTTTCAGACGCAGCACGCGCCTTCCGCCACAGTCTCCAGCACTGTTGACTTTCTGAAAGTGAGTATTTTGTCGTAAATTTTTTTGAAATCTCACCCTCTTGCACAAAGCTGATGAAACTCACCCATAAAATTGTCATGGCTTCTTTACATGATCTGAAATTTTGGTTGAATTCCAGTGGTAAACAACAGAGTTATTCAGGGCCAAAAGTAAGACATGGTGTTTTTTACAAGTAGTACCTACTTTTAAAAACCTGGTGTGGCCCACTTTCAAAGACACTGTGCGTGCACATGCATGTGTGCACATTTTTCAAGGTTTCATATGGCGTGGCGTGTGCGGGCGCCTCTGGTTTGTTTCTGCATGAGCACAAACACGTAACATCGTCACATGATTGTGCCTTCGGCACCAATTCACCTGCCTCGTTGAGCCAAGCCTTCATCCCTCCCTATTTAACTCTTTTTTAGTGTTTAGGCAAAAGGACTTTTAGTTTCTCTGCACGGACAATTATTCCTGGAGACATCAGTTGAAGTTGAAGTTACTTTATTTTTCTTTATTTCACCAGATACAAGTCCACAGTCTCCCGGCGAGAGATCGGCACACTGCAAGCCATGGGCTAATCATACCCACACCACACACAAAAAAGGCGCCAAGCCAGGGGGTAAACAAAACTATAATTTTCTGCATGCAAGTTTGGAAGGAAAAAAAGCCTTATAAATAAAGTGGAAATTAATTTTCTTTTTAATTAAACGAAAACAAGATAAGGACAATTTGCATCCTGAACATATTTTGAACTACTTTTTGTCTCCGGAATGAGTACATTTTTGTTATTTTATCTTATATTTAATTGTCGTTTAATCGTTATTTCTTTTAGTTTGTTTACATTTAATTGTCATTTTCATTCTGTTTCTTGGATGAGGCTGTGATTTTTTGTTACAATTTTTAATAGTTAAAACACTGTTTGTGTTTAGTTTGCATTCAGACTTTGGAGAAATGTTGCAACCTGACACCACTTTTTTCTTCATATATCATCTCAATGAAGGTCAGTCTTTGCAAAAATGATAAGACATGAATCTGGGACTGAGAAACATTTCCAATTTTGTTAGGAAATACTTAAACCTTTGTTCAGGAAAGAGACTATGGAATCACTATGTCTGTACGTATATATGTAGTATGTATGAATGTAGCGGTATTTTGGTTAAAGTTTCATACAATTGGTCTCATTTCAAAAGTCCGATTGGAACCAAACTTGAATCATAGATGCAACATGGGAACTTTCATATGATAATGATGTCAAAGGTCACATAACAAGGTCAAAGGTCATCTGGGGTCCAGTTGTAAACTTGGCTGATAATGTAAAATTGGTCTCATGTGAAAAGTTGAAGTCCAATTTGAACCAAACTTTGGTCATTGATGCATCATGGCAACCTTCATAACTGATCAGTCACTCTTTAAAGATAATCGCGAAAGCAAGCGAGACGCTTTTTTAATATCTCATTCCTTATCTGAATATCCATGAAAATATTTCAGGAATTTAGTTTAAAAGAAAGTTACCACCAAAAATAGAGACTTTCCAGTTAAGAAATTTAAAAACAAAGAACATCTAGTTGGTCATGCAGAAGTCTATATCATTGTGCCATCCATGCAAATGTATACAAGTAACGTAAGAAGCAGATTGAAATCTCCCAACAGCTTTAGTTTCCCTATCCTCACTTTCCGTTTCTCGACATTTTAGTTCATTCCTTTGAACTTTATATTTTGTTTATTAATGAATAAACACAACCGCTTCTATTTAATGAAGTGATTTTTTGGAAAGAAAGCATGCAACAAAGTGATATTGGCCATGAGTGAAGCATTTGGTTTTTGTTATGTTTTATGTTTTGTTTTGTTTGTTTTTAATTGAACTTGTTCATCATTGCTTTGTTACTCTTGCCAATTCACTGAGTACAATTTATTAATAATCATTGTACAGAATAAATATCAAGACTAATTGATAATATGCCTCTTTACCAGTGTCAGTCACGACAAATTAATTGACTCTTTTCATTAATCGAATCCAGCTGCTGGCATTATGTTGTGTCCTTGGGCAAGCCACTTCCCCCCCCCCCCACTTGCCCCTCTTCCCCCCCCCCCCCCAGGAGTACAAATGGTTGCTGGCATTAGCTGGGGAGCAACCTGTGATGGACTGGCATCCCATCCAGGGTGAACAGAAATATTCTCAGTCGTTTCATGCTACTGAAACCGGAGATAAACGCCGGCCTGATGGACCACATTGGCTCGTGACAGACTATACTTACTAATCGATCGGTGAACTGATGCTAAAAGATCTTTATCACAGGTCTACTAGTTAGCCTGTAATCATGTTGGACCGATTTGTTTTATACGCTGAAGTATATTTCATTACAGCCGACCTCACGGGAGTTTTTGTACAGCTTGATTTGCGCCCAGTAGTTGCCGCTGATGAGCCAGGAGGGAATCTTAATGGAAGGGATGTCGATATCGCTCTTTACACTGTACGTGCCCTGGAGATGAGATTAAAAAAAATCAAATATGCAAAGTGTCCATGAAATGAATTTTTTTTAGGAACACATTTTCTGCAACTTTCTACTCCTCTTAAATATGTGAACTATTTGACATGCCTTTTTGGTTAATTTTATTCCAAAGTGCACTTCTTTAACATTAAAACAAATTCCATGCTTTTCTGGACAACTGAGGGCGCTGTTGCTGTGATGTCATTTCAGGAAGACACTGTTCAGTTTAAGGGTTTTCTGTTCAAATGTGAACCTAAAAATCTGCTCATTGAAAACGTGCGAGAGAAGTTTGCTCGTTGGCTTACTGCCATGCACTGACACAACAACGAATCAACAAAGGAAAGAAATTTTACAACAGCAAAATATCAAACATTGAACAGGTTTCTGCCTGAAATGACATCACACTCTTTTGCTCATGAATATGGACATTTGCATTAGCATAAAAACCAAAAACAAATGCCCTTGAAAATGGCAAAACGAAAATTGAAAATAAGGTTAAAAGGGACACAAAGGTGCATTTTCAAGGATAGCATTACAAAAATTACATTGCATGGGCCCCTTAACTTGAAATGAAAGAAACATTGGTATGAAACGACGATTCTTTGCCTGTTTTTTCCAGGCTACTCAGACTAAATTCAGATAAAGATATACGAAACTACGTGTACTAGTAAGTTACTGAACAGCTGTTCGGTACAGGTTTCCCTTTTACAAACATGGAACAGAGTAATAAATAATAAAGATGGGGACAATAATATGTCTGATGGCTGATCAACCGGTATTAGTCTTTGAGACGAAACGGAGTTAACACCTGACAACAGTTTCAATTTCAATTTAGACATTTGGATTAAATAACGAATTCGAGGACTATTTCCCTAATCGAATTACGTATTCAGGATCATTTTAACTTAAACCTAAATAAATAATGTGTTTTAAATAATCGAATGAAAAGCTGGCTTGGAAAACCTATACAATACTCAGCGGTGCGTGCCAGTCGCGCCAGTTCAAGTTAAAGAGGAATATTTAAATTATCTTAACAGATGAGTTGGTAATGAAAGCCAACAAGAAGGTAAACGACTCACGGTTCGTAGCGGGCATTGACACGATGGAAGGTCTTGGAGCGGTGCCGGGCACGAGCCGGGCGGGCCGTTGTAGGCGGGAGGCAGGAACTGGCACATGTCTTGGTAGGTACAGCTTCCATAGTCGCTCACACAGGGCATTGTGATCCACCACCAAAACACCTGGATCCAGGGCGAGAAACACATTTTAGAGATTTATTAAAACTAAACAAAAAAAATTTAAAAAATAGGTCAGCTATAGTATTCTGAATAGGGGGAAAAGGTCATTGGAAAGATTCCCATATCTGGGCATCACAAATTTTCCCCTTCAGTGACCTATCAGCCATTAGAAAGTGATGATGTGTCCTAACGAGTCAAATTTAGCAGGGAAAATATTGATGTATTAACTGAGAAAACACTTAGAAATGTCGGACCAGTCTCATACGGTTTGTGCACAGGGTGACACGTGATTTCAAGATATGGGAATCTTTCCAGGTCACTTTTTTCTTAGGATATTAATTTTGTCCAAGAAACAGCATTCGAGGTTAATCAGGTCAGTTAAGTGGCGGTCGTGAGCCTCAAACTATAAACAGAGTGGAGGAATGAAACATACACGTTTTGGTAGAAAGATAAAATTGTACGTACACATACGGATAATTCAAAATGCCGGAAGTTGGGTACATGCAGTTGTCAGCATTTTTGGTTGATTTAAACATTTATATTAGAAAAAGAAACAGTTATAAACTTGAAAATCTAATAGAGCTTTTTTTATTGGCCTCGTCTTAGATTAACTCACCCGCTGGGCAATCAGTCTTCTATGGTGTTTTTAAAGACATTTTTAGTTTATATATATTTCTTTCATGAACTGGTTTAAAAGCGAATTGTTAAACTCGTACGTAGAGTTTCGCACGCGGAAATGAAATCAAATGACAAAGTTGGGGGAAAAGGGAAGAAAATCAGCCCTACAACATTAAATTTTGCACACATCAAATTAAAAACGAATGTCGAGATGATATGCACTAGATTTACCTTTGTCTTACGGACTTTGTGAGAAATTTTTTTTTATTTCCATTTTCAGGTACAGCTATTACTAGGCTTTATTTGGTATACGTAAAATGGAAGCCTGGTCACCTTTCTCTGAATCTTAACAACGGCTTTCAGGGGTGAATCCAGTTCCTCGTCGACGTGAGCGTCGATTGACACCCAGACGCTGTTTGGACCGGTCGGGTTCAAGCTGAAGCTCCCCTTTAACGGGGCCCCACCGCTGCTGCAGTCACTAGAACTAGCGTATTCTTCTATGTTGATCGCACTCTGTGTCACAAGGAGCGAATACCGAAAATAAAGAACCTGAAAACACTCGGAGCGTGATAAGGTAAGAAACAAAAATGGAAAGACGGAAGACAAAACTGGCAATCTCTGTACGTGCAAATCAAAAGTGCATGCTGTAAAGTTGATTGGTAGAAACATTTTGCAGAATTTTGTCAGTTAAAATTTGTAAACATATACTGAATTTTTGTATTTACCAAATCGATTTAGATGCTATAGACTTATTCTGATTTTGGCTTTTTAGGCCTATTACCAAAGTTTCATTGCCTTCCTTTTTCTTTCCGCTCTTAGACTGAGTTCCCGGGAGTAAAGTAAACTTGAGTGAATAACTATAATCATTGCGAAAAATTATTTATTTTAGAATATGATGTTGCGCCTTAATTGCATGTACGGCCACTTGACACTTACCGCATCTTCGTACACAAGAGCCGCAGCAACCAAACACAGTGTGCTGATGTACATGGAGAAATTCATTTCGAAGTTCACTTTTTGGATCGGACTTCAGAACGCGCCAAAAGAGATACCGAGAAAATATATATAGCTTACTGCGGCGGCAGAAGTACGAGTATTTATGCACAATTTATTAATGTGGATACCCAATCCTGGTGTTCTTGGCATTCGACACCGTGTCAAAACTGTCAATTAGCTTCATGCCAAGTACAGATGTATATTTTTGTTTTCGGCATTAGCGTGTCGAAACACAACAGTCCGAAATTCCCGGCATTTTATTGTGTTGTTTAAGTTCCGAGAATAGGCCTACTGTAAAAAGTGACGTGTTGGACTACAGATAAAAGTTGATGCTAATTTAAAATTTGAAATTTTATCGGAATTTTTTTGTAATTTTAATTAAAACTCGAAATGTGCATTTTCATATGTAAATTGTAGTCTAAAGTCTATGCGTGTCCAAGAAAGCTTGGAATAATCATTTTACTACGAGGAGAATGCTGAAACAATGTATAATCTTGACATAACTGAGATCTTTAAAATCCGGATCCTGCAATCTGTCGATTTTCCTACAACATTGTTATTGCGCCATCTCTCGTTAAAAAGGGAATTTCTTGGCCGGGTCGACATACATAGGGAAATTCCCTTATGCGACCAATTGTGAAGAGATATCCTGTCTGTGGCATTAAGGGGAAAGGTGACCTGAACCCGTCAGAGAATAACAAATTAAGAACAACGATTTGCTTTGAAAATGTACTGCACAAAAATTATTGGCAAACTCCTTGCCTATACTCCTTAAGATAAATAAGTAAAAATGTGGCTGAAAAGAGTTTTGTTAACATGTCAAAAAGGGCCACCCGACTTTTATTGTCCTTATTTCCCCGACTTTCATCAGGATTGAAATTCCTTAGAAAACGCATTTTAATTAATGTTGATATGAAAACGATCTTACTTCGAAATTCATTTAAACTTAGTAGATACATGTTATATTGGGACGTTTAGAAAAGCAAGGGTATAAGAACGCGGCGCGCCGACTTGAACTTCGCCTAGCGCGAATCTTGTGTTCAGGTTGCATTAGGAATTTTTAGTTCCAAATTTTTTTAGAGGTACGTTTCGTGAACCAAGATTACGCATCTTTCATATCTACATATCTTTTGCTTATTAAAACGGATACAATGAAATTCTATTGGGCAGTACCGGATACCAAGCATGGACGAGCATGGAGCAATCAGTACAGTGGTACTTGGCAGTGAATGATTTATTTTCATTTCATACAAAAATAATTTAAAGTGAGAGAATAATTTATGTTTCCTGAGTCAAGCTTAAAAGGTAAGTACATCACAGTGAAAAACAATAGCTGCACTGATCCAATTAATTGTATCAACATCAACATGAAGAAATAACTCGACTTATTTCATAAGTTTCATCTGGCATTAAACCATGTACAAAATTACCCCCACAATAGACTCAGTCTCCACATTATAAAATCGAAAACAAAGATATCTATTAATTCGGTCATGCAGAAGCCTGACCAAACGAACAAACAGGCAAACAGTAAACGTACAAACTGACGAACGACCAAACAAACAAGCAAATCAAGGACAAAGAGCCAACAAACAGACAAATATAGAACGGACGAACAAACGGACAAACAAGCAATTAAAAAATAACAATAATAGGCCCTAGAAATAAAATCAAAATGTGTGTATAAGTTGCGAATTAAACTTAAAATAGCAAACACCAGTAGCAAACACATGCAATGTATTAAATTGGGAAAAACAATAATAGCAAAACGGACGACCAGCTATAGAACAATGGAAAAATAACAAATGTTTAAAAAGACAATTCATATTAACAGAAAGAGAGAAAAAACACAGGAGTAAAATAACCAAATATTACAAACATGATAAATCCCCCTTCAAATGTGAACGAAACACCCCTACACCATCCAAAATTAAACAGTTTCTGGTAGCAACTATCAACATCAAGTTCTGAAAATATTATAGGGAAACAAACACTCGCACTATACTTGTAAGCGTCAGTCTAGGGATTTAAGTGGAAAGTAAGCATGTGAGTATGCTGTTTTTGGTGGTTGTTTTTTTTTTCAATTGAACTTGATCGTCCGTTTAACTTTTGTTACTCTTGCCAATTTGCAATTTTTACCCTCAGTACGAAATAAAATATCAAGATGTATTGATACCTCTATACCATTCATTGACCTAGGGTCATTACAAATTAATTGATAAATGTCATTAATCGATTGGTAAACTGATGTTGAAAGATCTTTATCACGCGGAGGAACTTTAGCCTGTAATTATTTTCAAGATACACTTTCAAGCAAGGAAGGATCCAGAACACATTTTTTTTTGGGGGGGGGGACAGAAACAATTTTGGTCCCCAAAAATTGGTTCAAAAAATTACGGCGTGGGGTTCGGTGCCCGCTAATAAAGGGCCCGGAAAATGTTTTGGATTTTAGATGCTCTGTGGTGCGATCTGAGGCAATTTCTGACTACTTCAACTATTTTATTTAGGAAAAGGTGGTGGTGTACCTCACTTTAACAAAAATTTTGGTGTTTTTTTTTTTGCATGGCCCCAGTTCCCCCCCCCCCCGGATCCGCCCTTGCTTTCAAGATACTACGTTTTGTATAATTATCGTGCTCGACCGATTCTTTATTCCTCGTTGAAGTATATTTCATTACAGCCTACTTCACGGTAACCTTTGTACAGCTTGATTTGCGCCCAGTAATAGCCGCTGGACATCCAATAATAAGATGGAAGCTCAAATGATGGAATGACGAACTCGCTCTCTGCACTGTACGTACCCTAGAGATGAGATAAAAACAATCAAAAAATAGAAATGAAGGAATCATTGGTGTGAAATGAAACAAACATTCTCTGTCCCCACTCATAATAAATAAATAAATAAACAAATTGTAATGCTTATTATTGCGCTTTCCATCGTATCAACAATCTCAAAGCGCTTTACAATAATTATTCCCTCGATCGTCAGACCACGCGTCAGCCGATATCAACGCACATTCGGTCCTCTATACCCTCGCAGGTAAACCCATTCATACTCAGCGAGGGCGGAACACTTGTGAAAGTTGGGGGGGGGGGGTTTCAAAGCACCGCCAGTGTCGGCTAAACCTCATTCATCAATAAGGGCGCCCTTTTCCAAGAGTACACTATTGTGGTGGGATGGGACCTACCAAGGGGGGGGGGGGGGGGGGGGGGGGGGGAATCCCCCAGTGGAAAAGGGGGGGGGGGGGGATGGCCCCCTGCGCCCCCGGTTCCGCCACCAGTATTCATACTGGTGAGTGGAAAGAGGCAATTCAGCGAAAGTGCTACGAAGCTGCTAACACGTGTACGATTAAATACCGAAGTTACTGAACAAATTAGGGTTCTGTTCGGTATAATGTCTTTTTTACAGACAAACATGGGAGTAATAAATAATAAAGATAGGGGAAAATAATGTATCTAATGGCTGATCAATTCCTATTAAAACGTGTTACACCTGACAACAGTTTCAAATTTGATTTAGACAGTGGATTCGGTTAACGAATTGGAGCGACTAGTTTCCTCATCGAATTACATATTCAGGATCATTGTAACTACATGTATGTTCAAATGTAATTAAGCGAAATAAATATAGTTTGTTAATTCAATGAGAAGTTGGCAAGGCCTAGAAAACTAGATATCAAACTAAACCCATCAGTGCATGTCAGAGCTAGGCACCTGTTCCATGCAGTTAAATAGAAATGTATATCTCAACATGAGTTGGTAATTGAAGTACCAATGCTTGTCTTTACCAAACCGCCCAAAGACAATCAACTCACGGTTCGTAGCGGGCATTGGCACGATGGCAGATCCTGGAATGGTGCCGGGCACGAGCCGGACGTGCTGTTAGAGGCAGGCAGGAACTGACACACGTCTTGATAGGTACAGCTTCCAAAACGGTCTCCATAGCAAGACAATGTGTGCCACCACCATGCTACCTAATGATCAGGGGTGAGGAAAAAACAGAAAGAGTTATTAAACTAAACAAAATAATAATTCTTACAAAACGAGGTCAGGTTGTATTTTAAAAATGGGGGTCTTCTCTTAGGACATGTCCAAGAAAGAGCATTCGTGCACGGTAACTCAAGTCAATAAGCGGCGGCCGTGAACAGCAAAGTATGATGAACCAGAAGTGCAGGACTAAAAGATGAATGTTTTTTTTTTGGATAAGATAAACGTGTACGTGAACATGTTACAATAAAAAATGCCGGAATTTGGGTACATGCGATTGTCCTTACGTCAGCATTTTTGGTTGATATAATGATTGTACATTCAAATTAGGAAAAGAAAGAGTTGTTATAAAATGGGAATTCAAGAAGAACATTTTTGATTTGCCTCATCTGTTCGTGGCGTAGAGTAACTCACCCGCTGGGCAATCAGTCTTCTAGGTTTATAAAAAAATATTATTCATTGACTTAGCGAATTTTAAAATTCGTACTGATAAATAGCACGCGCAAGCTATGGCGGGCAAGTGAGACATGTAAAAAGTATGGAGCGCCGATTACATTTCGTTACAGTATTGATATTCTTCTGTATTGGTATACATTTTGTGTATACAAAAATGGAAGAAGCCTGGTCACCTTCGCCTGAATCTTAACAACGGCTTTTAGGGGTGACTCCAGTTCCTCGTCAATGTGTAGGTTGGCGGAGAAAGAGAGGCTGTTCGGGCCGGTCGGGTTCAAGCTGAAGCTCCCCTTGACTGGGGCCGAACTGCTGCCGCAGTCACTAGAACTAGCGTAGCCAGCTATGTTGATCGCAATCTGTGGCAAAACAAGCACAGGGAGTTGATGAAGAACTTAGGAACGAACACCAAAAATAAAGAACCTGAAAAAAAATGGGGGGGGGGGTAACGAAATAAAAATACGAAGACGGAAGACAAACTGGAGGTTGTAAGAAAACTAAAGCAAAATTATTATTGAGAGTTTCTGTATGTAAATCAACAGTGCTGTAAAGTTGATTAGTACAAACATTTGCTGATGTTTGATTGAAAATGATAAAATTATCTATCAAAAATACTTGAATTATTTTAAATTACTTTGTAAAATAAAGTAATAAACGCTGGGGTTATTTACAAAATCGATTTAAATGTTGACCTCTCCGATCTGTAAAACATTGCAGTTGTTTTTCGTTCGACTGTCAAACTAAGTCTTGGTCCCCGGCGTATAATGGACACGAGTTGAATTACTGTAATTATTTCGATTTTTTTTTTGAAATTAATTTTAGAATGTGATGTTGTTGGCCTTATTTGTATATACGGCCACTTGACACTTACCGCATCCTCGAACACAAGAGCCGCAGCAACCAAACACAGCGTGCTGATGTAGATGGAGAAATTCATTTCGAAGTTCACTGTTTACCGAGACTGCTTGATTGACTTCGGGATGCGTCAAATTAGAGAAAATATAGCTTACTGCAGCTGTATAACTCAACCAAGACAAATGAAACTTTACACGCAGAGCACGGAGCATTTATGCACCTTTTATTGATGCGGATACCCAATGCTTCATTAACCAAAACATGTACGTCCGGCTTTTCTTGGCACTCGACTCCGTAATCAACCTATTGGCCAAGCACAGATTTTTTGGGGGGTCAGAATTAGCGGTGCAAAACACAAAATTCCCCTTTTCTGTGGTAAGGCCAAAAAAAGTTCCGGAATTGACGCGGGGACGCGTTTTTTTTTTTTTTTTTTTGCTTTTTTTCCCCTTCAAGCTTGGATTGTACAGACAAGGTGGGGTACTATATATATATTTATAATGCAAATTAAAAATTAGAACTTAATATTATTGCACCATTATGGTAAAACCATCAATTTATCGGGGACACACCCGGGAAAATTCCCTCCGCATCCGAAGCAATATCCTGCTTATTTTACAGGTCCGCAGGGCACTCGATTGATACCAGCTGGTACGAACTAAGGCCGTGCCCGAATTTCCTGGCTAGAATCTTGATACACGAAGTGCATGCGCGCAGATGAAAAAATATCAATCTTTGAAATAATGTACGGCTTACAATCTGTCTCGAACATTGCCAATTAAACTCAATGTTATTGTGACATAACATAGGCGTAGTGGGGGGGGGGGGGTGTGGTAAGGGGGTTATTTTTCCCTCAATATTTTGTAAAGACTGCCTTTTTTCTATTCTCTTTTTTTCAACGGGCTTACCCCCCCCCCTTTTTCAACAAGTGCCCTTTTCAAAAAAGAAGTGGTGCCCTTTTTTGTGGCAACTGCCGTTTGGGTCGCCTTTTTCATAATTTCGCACATGTATCGCCCTTAAAAGCACCCTATATTGGCCCTATGTGTGCATAATTGTCTGTTTTGAACAGCGCCCCCATCGACAGAAGGTACCAGCCCCGCCCCCCCCCCCTTGCTTTTTGATTTTACAGAGACCACGTGTCCGGGAAAAAAAACCTGTCTACATTTCACAACGGATGTGCAAGTGCCCTTTAAAAAAAATACCCTCCAATAAAAATGACCGTGCTACGCCCCTGCATAATGGTCAAATAAGCTGCTCGGGGAAAGACCCGGGAAAACTCCCTCCTGACTGATTACCAAGAAATATCCTGCGGTCTGTCAGACACGAACTAATTCTCTTATAATTTATATTGACGGGAAAAACTTGAAAACTTTGGAAAGTCTGATAGACCTTCCAAACCGGTTATAGCTTTAAAGGTGTTTTCTAGCCCACTTTGAACGTCAAATCTAAAGCTCTCCGCCTCATTCTTTTCCCAGTAATCAGACGGCTGTTGGGATTTTGAGCTAGAATGAACGACGTAGGCCTAGATTTTTGTTGTTAATACGGACAGAAATTTAATTGCTAAACAGGAAACAGTCGCGTTTACTTAAGCGTGAATGTTGGAAAGTTGCTTGAATTATCTGTAGTTTTTTTCCCCGGCGAAGCCTTTAATTAAGAAAAACGCACTCAGTCTGTCGATTTAAATGAGTTCACCAAAGCAAACGATATTAGCCTACATCGTGGTACGTAGTGAGCGAAAAAAGAATCATAATAAACCATGCACATGTCCAACCTATACAAGTCACGTACACCATATAGCTTTCCCATATATTACCGATTCAGTAATTTCACTGAATTGAACTGAAGTCGGCTACATTTCGCTTGAACAACATGGTCGGCTACATTTCGCTTGAACAACATGGAATTGCCCTTCAACATGGGTGTTTACTATCAAAAAGTCAAATTGGGGGTTATTCTTCATTTTGTTATAGCGAGTAATGACGTACATTAAGGGCTGACGGCGCTATTTTCCGCCAATAAATCAAAATTCGAGTTTTAACCGAGTATTGCTTATACTAAGAACACAGTTTATTGTCAGTGTTGTAGTCGAGGCCACAACCTCCGAGGCCGAGGCCAAGGCCGAGGCCACAACCTTCGAGGCCAAGGCCGAGGCCGAGGCCACAACCGCCGAGGCCAAGGCCAAGGCCGAGGCCACCACCTCCGAGGCCAAGGCCGAGGCCGAGGCCAGCTATCAAAACACGTAATAAAATATAATCAATAAAACCAGTTTTAACATCTTTTTAGTTGAATTCACTGAGTTTTGGAGTGCCTGGCCTTACAGCTTGCAATGGGTTTCCTCTTGTAGGGAGTCCGGCGAATTTTTTCTTTTAAAGAAAGAAATCTCAAGTTTTGTATCACTGAAAGCAAATTACACAACAAAATCAATGGCGTTTTAATCAGGCTCATAGGTGTTTGCCCTTTGGAGATACAACAATTTAAACGGCCAAATTTTGAGTTTCTATTCTGTAAGATTTACATTATTTACTTTTAGCATGTTTTATAAATCTTATTTTCAAAACCTATCAAAATGCTTAATATCATAGGAATCCCCATTAAATAAACAACAACTTGATTTTTCAATCAGGTTTTTACCACACATAACCTAAAAGTTACGACCCCCCCCCCCCCCCCCCCCCCCCCCACCTTCGCACTGTCCAGGCGCGCGCCGAGCAAACACCGCGATGCGACCAGACAATGCCAGACGGCCCGCCGTTACGCACCGGCAAAGCATAGTTCCAATCCCGCTCCACACAACGGTATAAGTGTCCACGCATTATCACTGTTAATACCGTGGTGCCAGACAAAGTCTTGCAATGGCCAATCCCGCTCCAAACAACACGGCAACACGGAACATGCGTGCATGATATCACTCAGTTCATCAAAATGACCATGAATTCTCGGATCATCCGATTTGAATCCAATGGCTTCGAAGAATTTTAAGATCATGGCAAGAGGTAGGGAGTCCAGAGGTTTTGGCCGTATATCTGTAACCACGCAAAATTAGTCAATTTCAAACCGTGCTTATACATGTAATAAGTATCAACATGGCTCTAAAAATATTTTTTTTTAAAGTATCCTGGTACCACGAGGAATACTGACTCCTATTATTAAAACATTCATGCAGAACTTTGCATTCATTTGGACGGAAAAACGAATTCTGAAATCGCGCTTTCCATATCGACCATTTGCACCAAACATTACCGTGTGAGCCGGAACTTTCATTTAAATCACCGTGTAAAAATAAAATTTACTTGATAAATCGTAACTGTTTTTATCATATCTTTATGAAAAAAATGGTACGGACTGGTACACTCGATTGTACCCAGAAAGTTCAGACTTTTACTGAAACAGTGGCCTATAAAAAGAAATGATTAAGCTTGCTGCACCTTGCCGCAAATCATTTTTAAAGGTCGGGGTACAGAGGCAAAACGAGACAATTTTGTACAACACTGCAACCAGACTAGTCTACTACCACATGTTATTGTACGCAGATGGGATTGGTGCCAGACTTATGTAGTCTGGCACGCGGTAACAGTTATAACGCTTGCACGCACGTGGAAAGCTGAAGCGCAGGCTAGGCGAAGATGCTACGTACGCGAGTACGTTCAATGCAACCATTTCCAGTTCATTCGTGCGTACATTGTATATGCGTTTGTTTCACGGAACCCACTGCAGCAGAATCTCGAGGGTTTGATACGGTAAAAAATTAAAATTAATTAGAATAGAAAACACATCAAAATGGGCGGCCTCGAGCCGGCCTCGACCGATTCGCCGAGGCCGGAAGGCTCCGAGGCCAAGGCCAAGGCCGAGGCCTTGCACCTCCGAGGCCAAGGCCGAGGCCAAGGCCATGAAAATCGGCCTCGAGGCCGGCCTCGAGGCCGAGGCCGGCCTCGAGACCTCCAACACTGTTTATTGTTACTGAAGTGAACCTTCAGCTGCGAAATGAAGACTAATGATTGTGTAGGTTGGATTTGATTGCGCTTAGTGACATCATCCAAGACGTCATTTTATAGAGACAGTCATAATACCAACTCAAAATCATAATAGGAATGAGTCCCTTGTGATGGTCCGTCCCCGGATGTGCCAAATTTCGGCAGGACTCGAGAAACTGTCAGGGAGAAACTGTCAGGGAATATAAAACAAGGAATATCCCGCGGAGGGGGGGGGGGGGGGTTCAAAATCACCTTCTATATAAACGTTAGTGTTGTCTCTGTGTTGTCTTTATTCAAGTCTGATTTGTTTCGTTTACGGTTGGACAATATATGGGTCGTGGTAATAGCTTAGATCTGCGTCCTAATTCTGTGGTAATAGGCTTTAATTAAGTCTATCGATGAATGCGCGCGCAGACGTCTTCTTTAACTGCACGTGTTTCGCTGGTATTTCATCAACTTTATAAAATTATCATGTAGGCTATTTACGCTGCTACCAGCGAAACTTAAAGTCAGCCATCTTTGTTCGGCGAGGCGCGGGAATTCGGACACGCTTGGTGCTCATATTTTGAGATAAAATTTGCATTGCCCAAATGACTTTACGAGAGTCTTCAAGTACTGATTACGTAATGAGTATCGGTCTGCCAAGTAGGTGAGCGTCGTAGTGAACCTAACCTGATTCTAAGGCTTGCATTTTGGACCGTTGCATACTGTGCAGATTTATTTAGCGGGGGCCGGGGGGGGGGGGTGATGGCGGGGCGGGGCTTCTGTGAGATGGGAAGGGGGTGGGCTATGTGTGGCTCAACCCGCCCTTCAATTTGCGGCTTTTGTTTCCTACACAACCTAGGCTCCCCCCCCCCCCCTCAGCTCTGACTCAATTTTTTTGACTTCATAAACGCTGCTAACAGCGGCACATCGGGGGGGGGGGGGGGGGGGGCTTGAGCCCCCAAGAGTAGAGGTTTGTCAATTTTATTTATTTTTGGGGGGTAATTTATTTTTTTTAATCCCATGATTTGCCCTTGGTGATAATAAGGTGGCCTTTTTTTGAGTAGAATAGGGGTGGAAGTCAGTAAGTGATGCCGTCAACATACTAGTCCGCCCCCGAAAAAAAGACAAATTGAACACAAATTATCAAATTGCTTAGTAAGTTGAATATTGTTTTGAAAATCTTTTTTCCTCAGATCAGACAGACTTTTGCATGCTGCCCTATAGCAGACTTGACCAGACCAATGCCTAGACTAGGCAGGACAGGCTGGATGATGGCCATCACCATGGTGACTGGGATGACCTTAA